TATGAAAAATATGGAATAAAAAAATTTGATTTGTGAGTTATGAAATTTATCAATTCTTTTAAGAAATTTTCCACATCCAGACGCAATGGTTTTTGCTCTCTCACTTCGTTTAAAATCTACATTCTTCACAAAAAATCATTTAAATGCTTTTAAAACCTTCCTAAATACTCTTTTAAAAAAAACCTGCCATCATAGATTTAAATCAATTAAGGGGGCACCTGATTATCTCACAAACACTGTGGTGGTATAAACCCCTTTGTAATGGGATATTTAGAAGATTATTGGCTAAAATAATTGCGGGTAAAAACCCAGGGTCTTAACTTATTAAGTATACTTATCAATTTGGATTTGGTGTTAAGGGAAAAGGCATAGCTTCGCATGCCAATTGTATACTTAAATCCTCCTCCTAGCATGCTATTATCAAAGTAAACTTTAAAAATGGTTTCAATAGCAAATTTTGTGAACATTTCATAAATTGTTTTTATCCCAAATTTCCTGTTTATTCAAAATTCCTAGAGACATACAACATTAAAACTCCTTTATTCAGCCCACATGTCATAGATTCTGACAAAAGGATTCAGCAGGGGGAAAATGTCCTCGTTTATATTACCATGGTATTCATTATCTCATCCATTATCTTAAATCTCAATGATTTGGATATAAATATTTGGTATCTTGATGATGGAACAATCTGTGAGGCTCCTAAAATAATTGGGTTTCAATTTCTTGAAGCCAATTTTAAAAGACATTCTTATCCGGATAGAAGATCAATTAGGATCAATTAACGGGCTATACAATGATATAAGTTTCGGTAATTGATCCCCAAATCGTTCCTACAGCTTAAATATTTCCGCCAACTTAACGTTTTTAAAACGGTTATAACTCGGTATTGGTTAGTGATATAGATATCCAGTTTGGTGATTGTTAATGTACGTATTGAATACTACATAATTGCCGAGTTTCAAAACATGATCCTTCGGTTTTGGCAAAGTGCCAATACTTTTTTGTTTTGCTTATAAATCACGAACGGTTCATTCCGTTGATATGCGGTTTAAAGATTCTGGAGGATCAATTAACGCACCACACTTTGGCATAATTTTTAGTAATTGATCCTCACTTTTTAAAAAAATTCCTACAACTTCACGCTATAAAAACAGGTCATAACTCAGTTGCGGTTAGTGATATCGATATCCTGGAAATTATTAACGCACAAATTAAAGCCTAAATAATTGCCAAGTTTAGATCGTGATCTTTATTTTCGGTTTTTGCAAAGTGCCAACACTTTCTTATTTTGCTCATAACTCAGTAACGGTTCATTTCGCTGCTTTCCGGATAGAAGATCAATTAGGATCAATTAACGGGCTATACAATGGTATAAGTTTCGGTATATAATCCTCAAATCGTTCCTACAGCTGCAAATCTTCGCACTCTCATTATTTTGCTTATAACATTATAGCCTTTAATTTTTTTGACATTCCGTTTGAAGAATACGGGGATCAATTAAGGTACTAAATATTGGCTATAACTAAAAAAAATGATTGCTCAAATTTTTAATTTTGGCAAGATGCCAAAACCTTTCTATTTTGCTTAGACTCACGAACGGTTTATTCCGTTGATATGCGGTTTAAAGATTCTAGAGGATCAATTAACGCACCACAATTTGGTATAGTTTCTGGTAATTGATCCTTACTTTTTAAAAAAATTCCTACAACTTCACGCTTTAAAAACAGGTTATAACTCGGTTGCGGTTAGTGATATCGTTATCCGGTTTGGAAATTATTAACGCACAAATTAAAGCCTAAATAATTGCCAAGTTTCAGATCGTGATCTTTTATATTTTCGATTTAGGTAAAGTGCCAACACTTTCTTATTTTGCTCATAACTCAGTAACGGTTCATTCCGCTGCTTTCCGGATAGAAGATCAATTAAGTTTCGGTAATTGATCCTCAAATCGTTCCTACAGCTGCAAATCTTCGCACTCTCATTATTTTGCTTATAACTCAATAGCCTTTAATTTTTTTGACATTCCGTTTGAAGAATACGGAGGATCAATTAAGGTATACTAAATATTGGCTATAACTAAAAAAATGATTGCTCAAATTTTTAATTTTGGCAAGATGCTTAAACCTTTCTATTTTGCTTATAACTCACGAACGGTTTATTCCGTTGATATGCGGTTTAAAGATTCTGGAGGATCAATTAACGCACCACAATTTGGTATAATTTTGGTAATTGATCCTCACTTTTTAAAAAAATTCCTACAACTTCACGCTTGATATCGTTATCCGGTTTGGAAATTATTAACGTATAAATTAAAGCCTAAATAATTGCCAAGTTTCAGATCGTGATCTTTTATATTTTCGATTTTGGCAAAGTGCCAACACTTTCTTATTTTGCTCATAACTCAGTAACGGTTCATTCCGCTGCTTTCCGGATAGAAGATCAATTAGGATCAATTAACGGGCTATATAATGGTATAAATTTCTGTAATTGATCCTCAAATCATTCTTACAGCTGCAGATCTTCGCACTCTCATTATTTTGCTTATAACTCAATAAACTTTGATTCCGCTAATGTCTGGTTTGAAGATCAATTAAGACTCTAAATAATTGCATAGGTTTTGGTAATTGATCCTTACATCGTTCCTATAACTTCACGGACCTTAAAATATTGTTTAGCTGTGTTTAAAAATCGTGCCTTTTAACACTAGCCGGGTCGGGCCTTAGAAATTTTTTAAAATATATTTAAATTTATTTTTTATGTGAAATAAAAATATGTGATTTTATTTATAGAAAGTAGACGCCATATATCATATATCGTTTATTTCGAGTAATTATAAAAATTAATTTCTATATTTAAATAAATTCGGGCATGGCCGGCAAATTTTTTTTAAAAAAAATTCGGATTCGGACCGGGCAAAACTTTATAAAAAATTTCGGGCTGGGCTTGAAAAATTAGGCCCGATGCAGATCACTAGAAGAAAAACCAATATAAAACTCGTCTGAACATTTAATAATGGATAAATTTAAATAAAATATCATTTTTATCGAATTTTAATTAACAAATATCATTAATATTTAAAAAATAATTTATTATATACCTTAAATTTAAAGGAGAGCTAGAGCGGCGCTCCTCCACCCCTAAAAGGAGCTAGCCCGCTCCTCATTTTTAAAGAGGGGCGCTCCAGGTGTTTTTAAAAAGAGCGCAGCTCCTTAACAACTCTGCAATTCATTCAATATTTTAATTATTCTATTAGCGATTAATTAAAATAATGATTACATCAAATGATAATGAAACAATCAAATGAGATTATGACAAGTTGACGATGAAGATAAATAAGATGGACAAACAGGAAAATTGTAATGCTAAACTTAGTAAACTTCACATTTTAATAAAACAAATAAGGGAATGTTATATTCTAGTTTTATGATGACATGAAAACTTTTTTAGTTTAATTTATATTTTATCGCGTTCCAATTTATATATTTTTTATCATTTAACTTAAATTCAGTTTTGAATAAAGAACATTTTTGTTTTATTTTCGTATTGAATAACTACGATGATCGATTATTATTTACTTATTATTTTTATTTCGATTTATTGAGATAAATAAAAGAAGTTTTTGAATTTGAGATAGATATTATGAAAAGTGATTTATTATGATACTACACACAAATTTTATAGTAAAATATATGATTCAAAGAGATTTGATAGACAATACTACTTGAGCATCTCAATTCCATATTAAATAACACTGCCATCATGTTGTTTAAAGGGAGAATTCGTGGTGATTTGAGTGAACAAATTTGAATGTAAATCAAGTAATGTTTTCTGTGAATTTATTCGCATCCCAGCAATATCAAAAGTATCATAGATCATATTTTAAATATAATTTGAATTCACATAATAACATGTCACTATATGATAAATAATATATCACAAAATCATAAATAATATATAACTCAAGATACCATCATCTCGTCGAAGATGCCACCGTTGCAATTATGTTTAATAGGGAATTGAGGTGTTCGAGTGGAGGGTATTGTATTAAATCTCTTTGAATCATAATCATATATTTTTTTATAAATTTATATTAATATCAAAATATCACATATCAAAATATAAATTCTATATCAAATTCAAAAATATCTTTTCATTTATATATCTCAATGGATATAAAAATAATAAGTAAATAATAATCGATTATAGAAGTTAAGCAATAAAAAAAATTGTAAACTGAATTTAATTATTAAGCAATAAAATAATAAAAACAAAACTAAAACATATATATATAACAGACAGTATATGTGCCATTTTCAACACTTTATTTTTTCTAGGGGGGAACCAGTTTTTTTTAAATTACAAGATAAGTACGGATATATTTGAACTAGAACTTTAAAATATACACTATATAGCTATCATCAGAGTTTAATTTACTTCAAAAATGGTCGCCCAAAAATATTTTGTTTTTTTGGTCGATTTATCATAGACAAATTTTTCTTTGAATTTGGACAGTATGGTTTATAAACCAAATTAGTGAACTGAACAATTTTAAGACTGTGACCACTGGCGCCAAAATCAACTTAGCACCTTGCTAATTGTTTCACTAAAATCAATAAATAAAATTATTTTTTACTAAATAGAACTTTATATGTTTAAATTTTCTAGCAAGTCCTATAAATTTCAGATATTCTCCAAGATATTTACACATATTGACTGAATATGCACAATAATTAAAAGTTATTAATATTTTATCATTTAAATATATCCTGTTAAACTAATTTAGAGATGTATCAGTATTGGTTCCTTTGATTCGATATCTCCAATCGATTTACAAAAATTTAATAATAATTGTAACAATTCATATATTTTTTGGAGAAATAAGAATAAGAAAAAAATACATTTGCTTTTTAACAAAAATGTGAAAATCTAATATTTGATAATATGATATTAAATACAAATATATTTTTGATAGAGAATTATAAAAATATTTTAACAAATAACAAATGTGTGTGTGATCTATTATGAAAACAGGGATACGTTTTCTTTCTTCGACAATAGAAGATGACTATTAAATACTTGTAATGCATTGCAACCAAATTCGCTTGAAAAAGAATAATCATGGACAATAAATAATGCACCTCCCGCTTTAGATTTATTACAATTTTTTTTTGTCTAAATCTTTATTCTTTTGAATGTATAAAAGTGCAACTTTTCCCGAATTTACAACCTGTAATAATATATATATAAAAATAAATAATATTCATTAAAAATCGCTATATATAATTAAATAAATGATATTAATTTTATTAGATGTCGTCACATGTCATAGATTCTATTCGAAAGCAAAATTAAATAAATAGAAATAGTTTTTAGGAACAATAATTTTGTAAGTGGTTTTATAAGTTTATCAAAAATTATTTGACCTTTCTTAAACAACTAATTACAGTGAAACCCCGATTTAGTAACAAATCATATTATAAAATTCTTTTTAAGAATATTTATATTTCTTAATTATTTATATACTCATATTAGTGAAGGTCAGTCCTTTGTCTTAGACCGGTCTTATTTAAATTTAAAAAATTACGTATTTTATCTTTTTAAGGAGTTATTTTAGTTTTTGTGAATTTTTAGTTCATTTCTATTTTCAGTATGAAAGCGATAAAGAAGCATTTTACTTAGTCCCAATAAAAAATACAAAATAAAATTTAATGTATCGTCAACAAGTAGCAAAATAATTGTTTTTTTTGAGCAGTAAATTAATCAAAATAAGCAGTATTTTTATTATCAAAATATTTTGCCCATTATATAATATGGTTATATTTTTTAAGAAACTGTTTGAATATTGCCGAAATAATTTAACCTTATTCTTAATAAAAATAATCCTTAAGCAGACATTTGATAAAACATAAAATTTATACTTCTAATATACTTTAAAAACACAATCTACTTCTTTGAAAATGTCCTCCACGAGCACAAAGTCACCTTCCTCAATACCAATAAAGATAAATTCAAACTGAACATATGAACCAATTAACAATAAAGCCTTACCTTGCATTCACAGTTAGCATGAATTCGCGGCGATGTACATAAAAATACAACATATACATGCCTAGAATTCGTGCTAACTATGAATGAGGGGTCAACTGCATACTATATTGATTCTTCATTTACATTAAAAAATATATAATTTGATAAACTATATCTGATTTCCTCATACCTCTGAAATCAGTTATAAAAGAAGTAATTGATGCATATCAATCGAAGGAGAATATACTAGCCTGCACCAGGGCTGTGCAGACGGGGAGGCGAGCACGCCGAAATTAGAAAATTTACTCAATTATTTTTAGTATTTGAAAAATAAGAATTTTTTGTATATACTACATATGGAATTATGGTTTGTGAACCATAATTACCATGGACTTTTTATTTATTTATAAATATGAGATGGACAGGATAAAATATAGGGCAAATTGGGTAAAAATTTTTATATGGATTATAAAGATGCCGTGCAGATTTGTAATTTAAGATACCTTGGATTCTTTCTCAATGGTCACTTATATAATTACTTATAAGCTTTATTTCCAATAACATATTATCTAAGCATACAATTATACTTGACTCTTTATTTAAAATATAAAAATGTATATCAAAATATATATTCTATATATTTAGAATAGGAAATGCCTGAATAATATCTTCTCTCTTCTTTATATAATAATAATATGCTATATAATCTTTTATAAACTGGGACATCCTAGATTTAACATTTTGTTTTGAGGTCGCCAAAGACGCCAATATTTACTCACTATTAAAAAAAATTATTAAAATTCATTTTTAAAAAAAATATGTGTAAAAATTAACAATAGTTTTCGAAAAATCTCATTCAACAAAAAAAAAAAATTAATAAACGATAGCCAATGATAATTATGACTCACAAACCATAATCTTACCCTACATAGACAAGGTATCATTCTTTTCTTTGTTTCTCTTTCTTATCATGACGATCCAGCAGAAATCGCTTGTTCGCATATTACTATCTCTCCCATTGTGGATAAATGATAATCTGTGAATGAGGTACTCAATGAATCGAGAATTTTAATTTTCCAATAAGCCAAGATGGCGGACATTTTTCTGCTTCATTCCATATGTGAAAACACTTTTCAATAATCAATTAATCTATCGTCATTGGCTAGTGAACTTGATTAGAACGATGCAATATATTATTTTTGTTGTAAACTTTTTCAAATTCGACAAACAAATTTTCAAACGAAAAGCTATGACTGGAAATAGTTTTCATTGCAAAAAAATATCAAATAAGCTAAGGTATATTGCATTTTTTAAGGGGCCGCCAAAAGTTCAGCATGGTGCTGGCCTGCGCTACAAATAATTCCAGTAACATCCTAAAAACCATGGATATTTTACAGAATGTTTATAAGGGACAAAAATTTAAAGGCTTTAGATGCTGAACCCATATTCTAATTCTAAACCTAATATCTCAACAACGTTTATCATCAATTATAAATATCCTAGAGAAGTGTAGAGACACATCCCTTTCTATAAATAAATCTCCCAAAATAAATCAAGTATGTGAAAAGGGTATTACAAAATTTAAAATTTCTTCTAATACCCCTATTAGATGGAATAGCTTCTATTTAATAATGAATACAATTCATGAGGTATTTACATTTAAATCCAATTAATTTAAAAATATGTATGCTATAGAGGAAGTGCCTTTTTTTTGAATTACAAACAATTTAAAGGTATTTTTTCTGTGTGAAAAAGAAGAGCAAAAAGGCTGTAGGTTTTATATCCTTCTTTAAAACCAAACTTGATTTATCAAGATTCAAATACCTTACAGTTGAGATTTCCATGTTATATATGGATAATGTAAAAATGAAATTTTAAATAATATTAAAAAATAATAAGACAAGAAATTCTAAAAGAATTATTTTATTATGAATTATATATTTTCAACATTGTTGGATCCGAGATTAAAACAAGTTTACATGCCTTATACTTTTAAAAGAGTTGAGTATATGATCAAATTTGAATAATATTTAAGGAAATTAGAGAATAAAAATACAGGAATATATTTTAAATATATATTTATTAAATCATAACTAAATATTTGTGCTAGTAAGAATCAATGAGTTTTTTTATAAGCTATTATATTATAAAAAAAAGGAAATTTGCAAGGGAATTGTATATCTGCGAAATCATAGAAGAAAAATTTCAGAACTTCATATTTATTTAAACGAACCACTTGTTTCATTAGAGGATGACATAATAGTATGGTGGAAAATCGATAGTAAAAAGTCTTTAATATTTTGTATTTAGCAATTTATTATATTGATTTCCAGTCCTCTCACTAGCAGCTATGAATTTTTTAAAAATTCAAGCAATATCTGTCCCATGTAATATTTTCCAAAGCAGGAGATCTTGTCACAAAAAAAGGAACAGGCTTTCAAACAAAACCTTGTTATATAATAAAATAGATCTACCGCCTCCATTAAATCCCTCTTCTAATTCTTTCCATTGCAGTTCTGCAAAGACATTAGCATCTATTTAAATTAATTATTTGTATTATTTATTATTTTATTCATAATGTTAACATTCTATACTTAATAAATGATAAAATAAGAATTAGGTAAAAACGAAAACATTTTTAAACAAAATAAAAAGACCGGTTCTGGGCAGGTCTTTTAATTTAGGACCAGAGTCTGGATAGATATTTTTAAGGATTTTGGTTCGACCGAATGCACCGACCAAAGATCGAACTGTGGCATTCAGAACTCATAATGTTTATGGGCCATTCCATGTCAAATCGATCACGAATCGGCCGACCCCCTTTAAAATTGTTTAATTTCTGGAATTATTTAGATAGGTAAGAAAGAAAGCCGTTTATTGTAGCTCGCTAGCACACCTGGCTCACGAGATATAGGGGTTCAAAGGTGCAAAAAAGAGCCCCTTTGAAATCTGTAAAATTTTTAAAATGCTTACATCTCAAAAACTATTTATAGTAAAAAAATATATATCATATTGTAGGTAAAAAAATCTCTAAAGGGCTATCAAAAAAATAAAAATTGGCACTAATTTGAGCCGTTAGCTTCCGGTTTACCTATTTTGCTTCACCTGTGTTTTTAAGCAAAAAAAGGGAATTTGTTTTTGAAATTTTTTATTGCTTTTTATTTAGATATCTTTGCTAATCAAAACCTTGGCGACGCTATCGACTCCAAAAATTGAAGAAAAATTGCTTAAAATACAGGTAAAGCAATATAGGTAAACCGGAAGTTAAAGACTCAGTGGCGCCAATTTTTATTTTTTTGATAACTCTTTAGAGATTTTTTTTACCTACAATATGATATATTGTATATTTTTTTACTATAAATAGTATTTGATATATAAGCATTTTAAAAATATTACAGTTCCAAAGTGGCTCTTTTTTGCACCTTTGAGCCCCTATATCTCGGGAACCAGGTGTGCTAGCGAGCTAAATGGCTTTCTCATTTATTTACCTATCTAAATAATTCCAGAAAATTTTAAAAGGGGCCGGCCAATAATGTGCCTTTTTTGATCGATTTGACATGGAATGGCCCTTATATTATAATAGAAAAGTTAAAAAAATTCATTGCTTCATCTTGATAATGTTGAAAAATTAATTTTAAATTTTATATATTAATTATTATAATAAAAAATATATAAGAAATTAAATTATGAAAATAAATATTGTCAAGATAGCCTCTAAATATTTATCCGAAAAGATAAAATATTTTAGAAGAAACGGGATTCGAATTTAAGCGTAAACAAAATTTTTCTTTTGTGTATGCCATTTAAAACTTAATAAGCATCGGCAATCGGCAAAATGCAGGAATAATATAACGATGAGCATATAGGATATTAATATCTAGGAAGGGGAATCAATTAATTGTTTATATAAAGACACTAAGACACCCAATTTTATTTATATAAAAATAGATCTACAAAACGCATTTTAAAAATAATATAATTTCCTATTTTTTAGCCTAAAAAACATCATATTTTATTTAGACAGCAATTGAAATTATAAAAAGAAGCTTTTGAAGTAACTTTAAATAATATATATTAATTTATATCATAAAAAACTTAACATTATTTTAGTGTTGTAATGAACGCGTTGAAGTTCGTTTCTTTGAAAAAAATGATGAACGGCGTTCCTTTTATTTTTGACGAACTTTGAACGTAAACGCGTTCCTTTTTTATGACGAACGCGTTCGAATTTAACGTTCGTTCAATTTTAAAAATATTTTTATTTTTATTTATTTGAAAAATTTAATATTTCCGATGTATTATTTATATTTTTTAATCGGCTGTGTATTTCCTTTTCGCATTTCAATTTTTATAACACACAGTTTATTAATTTGAATATTATTGTTTATATTTTAATTTTAGATTAGCATAAGCATGGATATTATTATTTAATCCTCATCATCTGATTCTGAAAATCCAAAATCAGATGAATTATCATTACTATGGCCAAATATGATAAATGTTTTACATTAACATCCTATATTGAAGGAACTAATCCAATGCTTACCAAAAAGTATTATATTGTCAAAATCTTCAGGTTCCAATTTAATACGACATTTGATTTTAATATTAATTATTTGATTTTATATGATATAACTAAGTTAAATCATTAAATTTGAAGAAATAATGCATTTGGGATATTTGACCCCAAAAATAACGATAGTTATTTTAAAATTAAAAAAATTAGTGGCCTTAAATATGGTCAACCATTGATAGACGCCGTATTAAATGGGATTAATAAAAGGTATTAAACCTATCACTCTCAATTAATTACATATATTTTATTTTTTTAAAGATTTGAACACATATATAAGGATCAATATGTTCTTGCTGCAATTATACATCCAGCATTTAAACTTCAATGGCCATGGATAAAACTTCCACAGAACGAACCTATTAAAAATAAACTTATAGCGTTATTGAAAAAAATGCTTTGAAAACCCTAGAGAACTGTTAATTTCGAGATATCCTTTTTTTTGTCGAGAGGAGAATGGATTTGCAAATAACAAAACAATAAATGTTTCTAATTGATTCTCCACGTTAAAAGGGTTGTTTATTAAGTATAATACCGCAATCCCCTCATCTGCCCCTGTAGAGCGCGTTATTAGGCTAATGCCGTATTAACTGCCAAGTGTTCCTGTCTATCAGATTAATATTTTGAAAACAATTGTTATTAAAATTTAATAAGAAAAATTTTTACAAATAAAAATATCTTTTTATTCGCTATATTATATTTTATTTATAATTATATTAATCAAAATAAAATAATATTATTTTTTAACATGGCTAAAATATGTTGTATTAAAAAATATAAGTTTATTAATATTAAATTTAATTTAAAAAAAATTTAACATAAAATTTTGAACGGTTTTATGAACTTGAACGCGTTCGATTTTTGTCAATGAACGTTGAACGCGTTCGATTTTTTTAAAAATGTTTACAGCACTACATTATTTTGATTACAAATTTTTGGCAGCAATTTTAACGCTAAATCGAGTTTTCACTATTTTGTCTTATAAAATATATATATTTGTTTTTAAAATAAATATACCCCCAGAAGCAGCGAAAAATTTGCAAGGCTGTTTTTTGTGATTGGGATGAAGGGTGGAATGATTAGATTCGTTTGAGCGAGATTTTTTAACGGTCTTTTCGTCTAACAAACATTATTGTACAAAATTATGAGAAATGATATTATACAGGATATCAAGTTAAATTTAGAGACACAAAGCCCTTATTTTAGAAAAATAACCAGAATGGGAACCTTGTTTGGCCCAAGCTACAAACCTGCTTAAAACTCTAAACACTTACAAAGAATTGTATATATACGAATATAATAAAAAAAGCTCTTTTTTAAAAATTTCAATCTTGGAAAGGGTTAAATAAAAAAAAGAAAACATTCCCCCAAAATAGCGGAGTATGCTATGAAGTCGTCACTCGCTGACTAATAATAGCTATTCTAGAAATATAATACAGTATAGCTATTACCTTTGGAAATTTCCCGCAATTTGTTAGAATTATTGGTGGCAGTATGCTGAAACTGTAATTGTTGTCTTTTCATAAGTTGCATGCGTTGAAGTAAATGCATTTGCATCTGATTTGGGTTTAGGGATTGAAATTGCATGTACCTTTTTTTAATAGGAAAAAAAGAATTTTTTTGATATTACTTTAGCATAGTTTGGTTGGTTGTGGTTTGGGTTTAAAAATCGATTAAACCAGCTCTGTGCACGAACCCCGAGCATAGACCCGAGGTTCAGATGAATAATGTTATTCCAAATAGTTCAAATAAAAAATATTTACCAAAAATATAGAAACAGCAAAATGCAATGACATTTTCTGAGGTTAGATAGTAAAGCCCTGCAAGCAACTCAGCTTAGGGCTTAGAAATACAAAAAAATAGGATTAAAATGAGTTATTATGTTGGTTAGCCAAGCGAATATTTCCAACTACACCATCCTAGTTCAGAATTAGATACGAACTTTCTGGCCGGATTTGTTTAATTTTATCGCTATTTTTTAAACACTTATTGATTTTTTTCCTAATTTTAGAAATGTAAGTTAGACAAGTACATTTGATACATTAGTTTCTAAATTAGGCAAGATTGAGCTTGGAGATATTTAGAATACTTTTGGATCGTTTTTATTTGGGGGGGGGGGGTAATGGCTAAATACAAGCTATCTCGGTTCCATCTTCAGGCGTTTGTTGAAGAAAATCAGTTAACATTGAGGCGTTTTAATTTATATTAATCCAAATTCTCTATATTTTTAAGAATATCCCAGAAAATCCAGAGTGATAGTTTTAGATTAAAACATTGGTAGAGCTGATTTTCGACTAAATATATTTGGTTTGAAAAAGTTTAAATAAAATCATAGTGAAACTGGAAGTTAAATTTAATAAAAAAATATTTTTTAAAAAAAATTATATAAGTAAATAACTAAAAAATAATAATTAATAAACAATTTCAAAAATAAAAACGCATGTTACTTTGCCATTATTATCCTCAAAATCAAATACGTGTTTAAAGAATAGAGATGAAATTAAACAAATCCGGCAAGAAAGTTCGTATCTAATTCTGAACTAGGATGGTATAGCTGGAAATAATCGCTTGGCTAACTAACATAATAACTCATTCGAATCCTATTTTTTTGGTATTTCTAAGCCCTAAGTGGTGCCAATTAAAAATTTTTAACCCTAAGCTGAGTTGTTTGCAGGACTTTACTATATAAACTTAGAAAATGCCATAATTTACTGTTTCTATATATTTCTATATATTTGTACTATTTGAAATAATATTATTCATCTGAACCCCGGGTTCGTGCTCAGAGCAGGCCTGAGCACAAAATTGGGTCGTAAATTTTACGACCAAGCTAAATAACAACACTACTTTAGCAAATCATTCTCTTTTTTAAATTGATATATAAAGATGAAAAAAGGTCTTTTTAATATAATAAATATGTTAAAAAAATTTGATAATAAAAGCATTTGTCAAAAACAAAGTTAATTGTATAATGTATGGTAGCTAAATAAAAGCTTCAATTAATAATATCTTGTAAGTAACTGTATTTAAATGTAAAATGAAAGAAAGCACTAACTGAAATTAAGGTTTGATTTTGAAAAAGAATGAAAGTATTTTTGAGAATAACGACAAATATAAAGGAAATTCAAAATTTGAAAGCGCGAAAAAAAATAAAATAGTTAATTGTAAAAAATAACAAATATTGTTTATATTTTTAAAAAAATAAAAGTCCTGATAGCCTTGTTCGAAAATAATAAATAGGTTCTGTCCACAACGAAATTAAAAAAAAATACAACTTCGGATATGTAGAGGAAAAAAAAGGAAGATAGTAATCAAATTCTGAAATCTAACAATTTAATTTCGAGATTATGAATAAAATAAATTATGGCCAACTTACCTAAAAGCCATTGATCAAATTATTTTTCCTATTCATTATACTTAACGTGCATTTAATTTTTGCAAAGTTTGAGATCATTATAAACATATGTGAGTGTCTTATTCTAGCATTTATTTTTTTCGCTAAAATTCATATATTGCATTTTTGCGAATTCGTAATTTCAGCAGCATTTTTAGTTTGAAAAAATGATAAGATAGGTAAATTAATGTATAACATTTATTTAACCAAATTTATACACTTACTATTCATATTCCTAATATATTTAATTTTAGATAAATTTTATATTGAAAACTATTAAAGATATAAGACAATCTCTATATGGAATATAAGTAGTGATAAGCATAAAAATAAATCGAAAAGGTACAAAGAGTTTCGAGAATTGCTATAAAGTCTAATATGTTAAGTTATATTAACATTATATACTGATTATTTAAATTTTTAGTATTAGAGGCTGAACTATAAAGACTTAAAAGACACGTTGTGAGGGAAAGAAAGAGAGCTTCAGGTTCTAGATTTAAAAGTAGGTGGGTTCATTTTGAAGCACCTTCTTTCCTTGAACCAATGATGATTACCCAATTATGTAACAAAAAGCTAAATTATCTAGTTTTCAAGCGTATATTCAAGTGAAGTATGCAATATAGGGTTAAATCGTTAAAATATAAATTAAGTTTTAAGATAAATGTTTATGTACGCAAGGTTATTGGTGAGACCAGCGTTTTGTAAAGGACTTATCATCATATCTTGATTCGATATCATAGCACTAGGACGGGCGGCATTGATCATATGTTGTTGAGCTAATACGCCTTGTGGATTTACTATTTTTTTTAAAAAAATCGGTTTAAAAAAAATATAAAAGCTGATAAAATTTAATTTAAGAACTAGATTATTGTTAATAATTGTACAAAGGATATGGAGCGGAACCTTTAGGTATTATCCTGCAGGGCTAGCTCCGCAGGCCATCCGTGACAATAAAACATAGACCTAATGTTTATTTTGCCTAAATTAAAGATAATCTGAGAGTGGGAAATATTTCTCATTCATTTTGATATTTATGGGTCATTTTCCACGTCAAATGAGCTAAAAATATGAGATTTTCGACCGACCCCTTTCGTTTTTTTTAAAATTTGGTAAGCAAAGAAAGGTCAATGTAACTAAGAAATAGCCAAAATTTTAGCCTCCTAACATTTATATTTTTGAAGATATTAGGGTTCAAAGTGGCAAAAATGACGTATTTTTATTATTATCTGCCTTCATTAAATTAAGCATGTCTAAAAAACTACATAATTGTAAATAACGAATTTATTATCAAAATAACGTACAAAGATTCAACTTTTATTATTTTTTTATCCGATTTCCCGGCCATTTTATTTAATATATAAGGACTAAAAACGATTTTTTGGAATTAATACGACCTTAAATTTTTTTTAAAAATTTAGTAGACATTATACTCTTTCTTTATATTTATAAAACTCTTTCTTTATATTTATAAAAAAAAATGGTCTGGGACGCGGCCATCTTCAATCTCAAAATCAATAAAAATGTTTATAAATATTTTCCCGAAAGGGGGCGTCTTTGTATAAAATTATATAAATCAGTTTTTAATGGTTTTTCTTGGACTATTTGATATAATTTAAAGGAACATTCATCTTGTAAGTGAAAATAAATGGGGTTATCATTCAATTATAGAAATTTCTATCGATAAAAGAAATTCAATTAATTACTTTATTTATAATTTATTATAAAATTTTTTGCCCATATATCATATATTTAATAAAATATATTCAACAAAGTTTATAGTTCTTGAATATATGAATCAGAATCTTGTGCATTTCATTAATTTGATATTTTTAAAATATTACAAATATTAATTTATTATTATTATGAAATTATATACAAAATAAAAGCATTATCATAAAATAACCCAAAACAATATAAATATTCGATCGAATTTTCTAAAATCGGCATAGCCTTACTAAATAAGAATAACAATAAATAAGTGTTTCAATCAATAAAATAAATAAAAATTTTAAAATTGATTAATCATTCAATAACACATGCTCACTATATTAATTCATTTTTTAATTAATTTCTTGGTATTTTGATTTCTATCAACACCTAACCCCAAGCCTGGAAAAACTATAGACGAATATACAGTAAAATTGTACAAGAATTTTATTGTATGGACGAAATAAGCATAATCATGCCAGGCAAGAAAGATTACGTTTCGATTTTGACCAAAGACGGAAAAAAGAATACCATACATAAGAGATTAATTTTAGATAATTTCAAAGAAATTTATATATTTTTTAAAGAAATGAGGCCTGATGTTAAAATTGGTTTTTCGAAATTTGCAAGCATTCCCCCAAAAATTGAATACTCGTTGGAGGTAGTGGTAAACATGTATGTGAATCAAAATTTTAAATTAATGTTGCCCTTTAAAATATACAAACATATTTTACACTTAATAATTTGTAATTCGCTTCAACCATCCAGTTATACGGGCAAATGTTATAATTGTCCAGGGTCAACACATTTACGCGATCAAATAGAAATATTGTTTCGTTCTAAGGACATCGAATTTATACAATGGCTATCCGTTGATAGAACCACTCTTGAAACAATAACCAAACCAGTAGGTGAATTTATCAATGCCTTTTTTGAAAAATAGAATCTTTATTACTGCATTTTTTTATTTCAACGCAACAATCGTTGTATCAAAACAATCTAATGAACTTAGACGAAGATCAATATTTAATTTTTTATGATTTTTAAGAAAACTATAGCATTATACTTCAGGAATTATCATTGGAATAGGGCTCAATCCACTGTTCACACTTTTGTTATATATTATAAGATAATTTTGCCAATATTTGTTGCCTAAATTATGTAATGATATCCGAATCTTTGCAACACAATACAATAGCAGTACATAATTTCAAAAAAACATTGGTAAATTTTTTAATTAATAAAATTTGTAGGCCAAATAAAATTTTTTATTTTTCCGATGGATCCGCTTCACAGTATAAAAATCGGAAAAATTTTATTAATATTTGCCATCATGAGATTGATTTCGGGGTACAGGCGAAATGACATTTTTCTGCTACAGCACACGGGAAAAGTGTTTGTGATGGGATTGGTGGCACTGTTAAAAGATTAGCCGCTAGAGCTAGTTTACAAGGCCTTACTCAAAGTAAATAACCACATCATATGAATTGTACGAGTTAGCTAAAGAAAATATTAATGTCATATATTTTGAATAGATGACCAAAATAAATTATGATTACGAAGATCTGTTACTCAGGGAAAGATTTTCAAAAACTAGATCTATCTATACCTGGAACACACAAAATATACACCTTGATTCCAACAGATCTACATCAATTTTAAAGTAAAATGTATTCCAATTCAATAGAAAGTAGAATAGTTATCATATAATGATTACAGTATAATCATTGAAGAAATATCAGGATACCCAACATATCCTTATGATTCTAATTGGCGGTTAGCTTTGTTTTAGTGAAAAATCAAAAGCAGGAAGAAATATATATAAAGTTTTTACACCCAACCGGATTTTCCAATTCCTTTATATTTCCAAGTATAGAGGACACTCTTTACTTGCCCAAATGTCATATCTTAACATTAGTTTCACTGTTAACTGCTACTGGCCGTAGTTATACATTGTCGTCACAAGAAAGTAAATTGCGCTACCGAAAAATTAGAATCTTTTAAAAGTGAGTTGTATAATAGATTTTTAAATTTAAATTATATCAATTTTTTTAATATTTAAGGCGCCATATATGAAATGCACAAGATTCTGATTCAGATATTCAAGAACTCGAAACTTAATTAAACATATTTTATTAATATTCATTAAATATATGTTATATGGGCAAAAAAATTTATAATAAATTATAAATAAAGTAATATATTGAATTTCTTTTATCGATAGACAATTTCTATAATTGAATGAAAGCCCCATTTTATTTTCATTTACAAGACGAATAATCCTTTAAATTATATCAAATAGTTAAAAAAAACCATTAAAAACTGATTAATATATAATTTTATACAAAGACGCCCCCTTTCGGGAAAATATTTATACACTTTCCTAAACATTTTTATCGATTTTGAGAATGAAGATAACCGCGTCCCAGATTAATTTTTTTTATAAGTATAAAGAAAGAGTTTAATAAAGTCTACTAAATTTTTAAAAAAAAATTGAAGTTTCCAAAAAATCGTTTTTAGTCCTTATTAAATAAAATGATCGGAAATTGGGAAAAAAAATAAATTTTTTTTTATCTAAAAGTAGGATTTTTGTACGTAATTTTGATATTAAATTTGTTATTTACAATTACAATTATGTAGTTTTTAAGATATGCTTAATTGAATGAAGGCAGATAATGGTAAAAATACGTCATTTTTGCCACTTTGAACCCTATCTTCAAAAATATAAACGTTAGGAGGCTAAAATTTTGGCTATAGTTACATTGACCTTTCTTTGCTTACCAAATTTTAAAAAATTCGAAAGGGGTCGGCCGAATCGTGGTTGATGTGTCATGGAATGACCCGGAATGAACTATTTGAGTTATATATATTTCCTAATTCCATTTGTAAAAAGTCAAAGAAGCCAGACCAGACCGAGAAAATTTGCCACCGGGATTCAGGCAGGCTTTGACCAAAATTTTTTAGCGGGGCTTAACTTTGAGCGAATTAACCAGAACGGCTAAAATAATTATAGGATAGTCAAAAACAAAATAAGTACACTGACCAGTGTTGACAAACTGTTGTTGTTGCATCGATTGTTGAGCTAACTGTTGCTGTGGGACGATCGAACCCATTTGAGATGTGAAAGAGGAAAGATGAGGCGGCATGTTTAGATGTGGCAAGGGATAGCTGTAATTGTGTGCCATGTTATTATTCAAAAAATTGGGGAGAGGAATTGTACCTTTTATAAATAAATATAGTTTAATAGGATTATATAGAACGACTTTTCATTTTTTTCGTTATATTCTGATTGTAATTCGAACTTTACAAAAACTAGGTATATTTTATCCGAGTCATTAAAATATCTAGATAAATGTAACTCGAATTCTAAAAAAATGTATCTAGAATCTAATATATATATATATAATAGTAACTGTTATACTATATTTTTAGAGGTCTCTGTTCGATAAATATTTATAGCTATTTCAAATAATAAATACATTTTTAGATAAATATTATTTACGGTTTTTATTATATTAGTCTTGACCAATACCCTCGGATTGGACCACGGTCCTTAAGAAAAAGATGGATCCAGACCGTGGTCCTAAATAAAAAGACCGGTCTTTTTATTTGTTTAAAAACATATTTTTTTTAACCTAATTTCATTTGTTTTATCATTTTATTAAATATAAGAGTATTATATAAACAATATAAAATTAATTATGAATAATATAATAATTAATACAAATATTTAAATTAAATAAATGCTAATGTCTTTGTTTGTAGAACTGCCATGGAAGAAATTTTTTGTTCCTTATAAATATTCTGGATGTTATTGGCATTATCTGTAGTGGCCAGTATATTCTCCTCCAATTGATATACATCAATTACTTCTTTTATAGCTAAGGATATTTCTTCAGAGTATGTTCAAATGGGATATGATTTATATCAAGTAAAATATTTTTTAATGTAAAAGAAGAATCAATAGTGTGTAGTAATGGCGATGAATGAAATTTTATTTATACTGCTCCACATATCTGTGGTAAAGCTTATTAAAGAATTATTTTTATTTAAAATATCTTTTAAAGAATTTCTTAGTTTCTCAAAATTAGCTGTATAAAAATTTTTAACTTTGTTTTTAGACCAAATTGTAGCAGTTGAGTTTAAATATTTGATTAAATTATGAAGACCTGAACTTTCAAAAGTCTTCATTGACAGACAGTCTATTATTACCCATTTTATTATTAATTGGTTCATATGTTCAGTTTGAAATTTATCCAATGGTATTGAAGAAAGTAATTTTGTGCTTGTGGAGGGCATATTAAATTAAGAGTAGATTGTGTTTTTTTTTCATTTTCATCATTAGAAGTATATATTTTATCAAATGTCTGCTTAAGGTACCTAATTATTTTATTAAGAATAAGGTTAAGTTATTTTGACAATGAATTATTCAGACAGTTTCTTAAGAAAAAATAGAACTAAATAAATAATAACCAAAATATTTTAATAATAATACTGCTTATTTTGATTAATCTATTGCTTAAAAAATTATAAACAATAATTTTGTTACTTGTTGCTGACGATACATTAAATTTGGTACTGCAGGGAACACATACTCTTATTTTTTATTGGGACTATAAGTAAAATGTTTCTTGGACAAACTTATGGTTTTCATATTGTAAAATATAAATTAACAAAATCTAAAATAACTCATCTAGAAAAATATTATAAAATAAAATTATATTAATTGATTAGTAAAGCAAACTTAAATATTAATAAAAGACCGGTCCGGACTGTAAAAAATAAAAAAACCGGTCCGAACCACGGTTCTCAAAAAAAGATCGCCGACAATCGATCCGGTCTAAGACCGACTACAAAAAAGGCACATTTTCGGCCGACCCCTTTTAAAATTGTTAAAAATTTTTGGAATTATTTAAATAGGTACATGAATGAGAAAGTCGTTTATTTTAGCTCGCTAGCCACTTGCTTCCCGAGATATAGGGGTTCAAAAGTGCAAAAAAGAGCCACTTTGGAATCTGTAAAATTTTTAAAATGCTTATATCTTAAAAAGTAAAAAAATGTATAATATATCATATTGTAGGTAAAAAAATCTCTAAAGGGCTATCAAAAAAATAATAAATATTGGCGCCAATTTGAGTCTTTAACTTCCAGTTTACCTATCTTGCTTCACCTGTATTTTAAGCAAAAAAGGGAGTTGTTTTCGAAATTTTTTTTGCCTTTTATTTAGACACCTTTTATAAATATATATACGATATCAAAACCTTGGCGACGCTATCAACTTTTCCGAAATATACATTTTTACCAAAAATTGAAGAAAAAAGTAGATATGGCTAAGGTTAAAAAATGTTATTCTTAAGGAAAATGAAAATATTGATATGTTTATAAGAAATGTGATAAAATTTTCCAGTTCTGCCCCCCCCCCTACCATCATCCTTAAAATGTTTTACATTTTTTAGATCTCTACTTTGCTACTATAGCGAATGACTTATTAGCTCGATAATGTATAACAGCAGCAGTAAAAACGAATATTTTTATAGAGCATATTATCGATTATATATTACAAAATAAACTGTATAAAATATTATTTTTTCCTGAGTAATATTTTTAACTTGCCCGTTCAGATTAATTTTAAATATTACAACCTGTCTGCAGCTTATTATTTTAGTCTGTCTAGGTCTACCAATAATATTCTGGACTTGGAGAGTGCAAAATCATATTCTAGATGCAGATCAATTAAAATTTTATTCTATATCACAGATGGACGTACCAAATATTAAAATGTTGCAACCCATTTAATCTACAGAGACATGCTTATTATAGCCTTAATCTAAGAAAGTCAACCCTGGATGACCCAAAGATATGTTAATATGCTCTTCATGCCGACAAAAATTAGCAAACATTCCTTATACTTCAAATGACAATGTAGATATTGATTCTCACCCTCATATAATTAATCAAGAGGCTATTGATAACATTAATATATCTCTAAAATCAAATGGGGAATCTCTCATTAAAAGAAAACGCCTATGTGAAAAGAAATATTTGAAGAAAAAAATATTTAGAGTAAATAATGTTTTAACGACTAAAATAATACCATTATCTTCATCAAATGATGAAAAATTCGATGAAATTCTAGATAACTTAAAAATTAAAAAAATTATATGAAGGATATTTATTATTGGAAATTTATTTTATTATTAAGTGACTAATGGCCATTTGCCAACTCTACTCCTCCGTTTAATTAGTATATTTAATAGAAATTAAAATTTTTTAGTATAAAAAGTGAAAATATCCGGTTATTGATAAGTTAGCAGCAAATTATAAACTACAATCCGTAATTTCATAAAGCGCCATCTATTTTTTTATCAATTTTTGAGTCGATAGCGTGGCCAAGGTTTGATATCGTATATATATTTAGCAAAGGTGTCTAAATAAAAAGCAAAAAAAAAATTTCGAAAACAAACTCCCTTTTTGCTTAAAAACACAGGTAAATCAAAATAGGTAAACCGGAAGTTAACGGCTCAAATTGCCAGTTTATATTGTTTTTTGATAGCTCTTTAGAGATTTTTTTTACCTACAATTTGATATATTATATATTATTTTACTATAAATAGTTTTTGAGATATAAGCATTTTAAAGATTTTACAGATTCCAAGTGGCTCTTTTTTGCACCTTTGAGCCCTTATATCTCGGGAACCAGGTGTGCTAGCGAGCTAAAATAAACGGCTTTCTCATTTCTTTACCTGTCTAAATAATTCCAGAAATTAAACAATTTTAAAGGGGGCCAGCCGATTCGTGATCGATGGAATGACCATACATACATTTTAAATTTGTATCTAAGATTATAATATACTGGTAAAAATTTCAAAAATAGATTCATTAAAAAGGTAGAAACTATAATTATATGTAAAATAAATATTGTGTAAATTCAAATATAAATACATTTTTATTTTCCCTTCTAAATTTACAGATACTGTTTTATCTGTCCTATGGATAGGTAATAACCGTGATCATCTGATAAAGTTATTTTGTCTAATTATTTGAGAATAAACTAATTATAGTAGAATCAGTAAGAGCACACCTTACCAGGTATTTTATGCTCGTAATGATAACCAAGAAAAAATAACTAGTTCGAATGGAATGGATTTAATATCATATTCTGATAATGGTTTTGTTTTTTATATTTTGATTACTCATTCTTTGTCTCCTATTCATATAAGATTATCCAACACAAGGGAGGCCAATAGTAAAAAATGTCATTCATTCTTAATTTTTTTTAAAATTTATATTTTTTTTATTCTAACGAATCCTCAATCTATAATGGTATTAAACAAAATTTTAATGCATAAATTGAATAATCTTTAAAAATATCAGATATTTGGGTGATTGATACACCTTATCAGTTGTCAGACAACGCATCTTCCGATTCCGAGTACTTATTCGATAATTAAAATTGGTGACATATACATTATGCTTCCACTAATTATTTGTCTAAATTTTATATCCTATAAAAGAGAAATATGCCTATGCGTTTGATATGGAGAACTCGATCGATAGCAATGGTAAAAATTACTCAAATATTTGTTCATTAACAAAATAAATTAGATTTAGCTATTATGATCATATTCCTGGTAATTCTCTCCTCCTTACCGAGCTTACTGAATTAGATAAGCTATAAAAATAGTTTCATTAAATTTATTCTACATGAAATGTTAGATATAAAAATCTAAATACTTATATTAAAGAAGATTCAAATCAAATAGTAATAGTAGCGATAAATTTACCAAAGTTTATATTTCTTAAATAATATTGTTTAGATTTAGAATTGAACATGTTAGCACAACTCTTTCAATCAAAGAATATACCGACATGGGTAAGATATAAGAAAAAACATTTCCATTGTCCAAATTTTAGATATTATTTGTGAATCAGAAGAGTCAAATTGCAAAGGTAAAAATTATTCACTATATTTTATAAAACAATTGGCATTAGATTTAACAATTTGATGCTCCTTTTGCCTTAAGTTAAAGAACATAAAAAAATAGATAAGATATATAAAAGATATTTATCATAAAATTATTAGATATTAAAAATATTGTATTTTAATACAATATACTCTTGTACAGGGCTGTGAAGTGATAAAATTTAAAATATTAAACTTTTTAATTACCAATAAATTCCTTTTAAACTATTCACAAAAATCCAAAGTATGTCATAAAATAATAAAAATGAATACTAGGTCAGGCTGAAAAAATATTAATTCCATTTTAAAAGTAAGATTTTCTAAAAATTAGGCTGAGTCAAGGGTGATCTTTTTTTATATAAAAAATCATTAAAAGCTAAATAATTTTAATATAATTAAATATCGATAGCGTAATTATATTTTTAACGATTAGGGAAAGAGGGGATATTAAATTTATATATTTACAGATAAGCCATCACTTTTTTTATTGCTTACCAATGAAGAAAATTATGTCGCTACTAAAATAGCAAAGGTTTCAAACAAAGATTCGTGCTTTCAAATTGTCCATAATATTACTAATAGTCATTGTTCAAAAAATGTTGGCTATAAAATTACATAGAAAAATAGATGTGCTACCAATAATATTGGGAAGTATTTCTAATATTTTAATAAGGGCTCATTCTTTTATTTCATATTTAAATAATCGTGGGCGTCAAAACTTAATTTATTCTCAAATAATTAAACAAAATAACTTTATATTAGGTGATCACATGTTATTACATATTCATAGGGCAGTTAGAACTAATATCTGTCCTAAAAATTTAGAAGGAAAAGTAATAAAAATTGAACAAAATAAAATATGAGTAGGAACGTGTGTTGGAAAAATTTCAACACCATTTATTCCCTCTAGTCTATATAATATAAAAATAAATGATTTTTAAGTCCAACAAAGATATACTAATCCTAGGTAATTTAAGTTATTTTTATAATAACCACATATACTCCTCAAATTAATTGATGTATATAAAATATATTAATTTTTTAACTGCTAAAAATATTTAGGAGCATCCCGGAATGTCATAAACAATGGGAAAACATTGTTATGCAATTGCAAAATGAGTTTAATAAACAATTTTTTATAATTCGGATTTTTTAAAAATATATATTCATATGAAAAATATGATTTTATTTTATATAAATTTACAAAAACAGAAAATAAAATATCTCTAAAAAATAAAAATTTTCTGGTAACAGCCAGACGGTAAAAAAAAATAAAATAAGTTATAAAAAAATATACATGGGGATTCGGAATATTTTTTAAAAATATTTTAAAAAAATATTCCGAATAACGGTGGGAATTCAAGATCTCGAAAACCCGTGTTGGGATTCCGAATCCCACATGATTCCATATCCCAATACGACATAAATATATATTATAATAAAAATTAATGCAAAAAATAAAGAATTGATAAATAATTATATAAATTATTTAGCCATCAATTATTTCTTCTTATTGTAGGCCACTATTTGCTACTATTTAGTATGGATATTTTTTTGTCACGATTATAAATAAATACTTCCCACCCTTTCCACCATTTTAAATTAAATTTTTGAGTCTTCAATTTAAAAAAACCAACACCAACTAAACTCGTTTAGAAGGTCTACCCCTATACCTATTTTTCTATATAGTATTGTTATATGATTAAATTAATAATCTGTTGTACCCTCCATGTTGATGTTGCCGCTGCCCCGAGATTTATTAATTGTTGTGGGGAGGCTGCCTTTGTTTCCGGGAGGGTTAAGCGGCTGAAGAGTTGGATGTGGACCATTGACAAACTGTCATTAATTTTTTAAAAAAGAATTATTTAAATAAACGTTATATATTGGCATGAGTATACTAGCAATATGAATAAAATACCTTTGGAACTTTTAGAGTTGCAATAAGTATAAGAACCAGGAAAAGAAGCACCTCTCTAGAAAAAAAATAAAAGCCCTGCATCAATCGGACCCTATTTTTTAGGATCCGATCTACTGAGAGAATTGTCCAATCGATTTGATTTTGAATTTTTTTTGTTTTCAAAGATCAGAATCAGAAATAAATTTTAAAATCGAGGTCCGAAACTGAGAAAAGGTTTCTCCGATTTCGACCCTAATTTGTCGGATCAGACTCGGTCGTTAAAACCGTAGCTCTTTTTAGGTCAGGCTCCAAATTGTTTATAGAAAGACGAGAAATACTTTCAAAAAACTCTATGTTACAAGAGTCATCAAAAAAATAAAATGTTGATGTAAAGATGTTATAAGAAAATATATACAAATCTTAAAACTACCCTATTATGCGGTGTCTTTTTAGTAAGCAGCTGATAATTTCTGTAGTCCATTATGTTATCGGGATTGTTTGGCTGAATCGTTATTATAATAATTACAATATATTTTATTATCATAATCTTTCCTCAACGTTAAATATTTTAAAAAACATTTTTATAATTCCAAACGAATATAAAAATATCCTTTAAAATTAATGATTCATAAATAATTATTAAAATGTAATATGATTAAAACTCTAAAATAATTTTGTTAAAATTTGGTCAACTTCAATAAAACTTAGACAAGTGTTTTAGCCTTAAAATGTTCCGAACTTTATAGAATAAAAACTTGGTGTTTTAAAGATAGCTAAAGTTAGTTGAAACTCTACCCCTTAATTTAGAATTATTTGACTAAATTAAATATAAAAATCTCGAAATTTTTATTTATTTATTTAAAAAATCATATCGTAGTATAATATAACATCTTCGAGTGGGATAAGGGTAGGTAGATGGAGGATTTTTGAGGCGATTAAGTCGGCGGGAGAAGGGTCATCCGAAGCTTGTTCAAATTGTGCCAATCTTCTTTCTCGGCTATTTGTTCCGGGGCAGGCCAAGAGCGGGGTAATACCGCTTATAAGTTGTGGCATCCGCCAAGGGATGGTTTCTAAAGTGGGACCAATCTTTTTTTAAAAAATATATTTTTTATTATGTGTACAAGAGATATTGAAACTAGAGATCTGCAAATCAAGGCCCGTACCCGGCTCGAATAGATTTCGGGCCTGGCTTGGTTAAATATAAAATAATATTTTCGGTTTGGGCTGGATCGGGCCTAATATTTTTTAAAAATTTCGGGTCGGGTTATGAGGCTTAAATTTTTAAATATATTACATTTTGTCAAATAAAATTGATAATTTTTTAAAATATGATATAACATTTTGTCAAATAAATTTATATATTTTAAAATTCCTGAAGAATAAAGGTCCAATATTTCCTTAAAATTTTCCATATTTAAATAAATTCGGGCTGGGCATACAATTAATTTTTATTTTGGGTCGGGCCCTTTGGGACAAATAAAAAAAATTTCGCTCGGGATCAGGCCTGGTAGGTCAAATTTTCTTAAAAAAACTTAAGATGCAGATCATTAATTGAAACTATAAAAATTTATGACATATAAGGTATATATGTAAACCATACCCTCGTACATAATCAAGGCATCTCAATAATCCTTAGGCAAAAGATCCGTGTAGTGAAATCATCGAGGATTAGTATAATTATAAATATCATTATTTTTTAATGCTTAAGGGTTCCTTTTTAAACTATTAAACTTTTATCTTGTCAAATAATTCTTTCCCCAAGAGACTTTCAGATAAAATATATATACTAATTGTGTCCTGGGCCATTCATGAAGGAAGGAACAAATAAGTTTTTTAAAAATATTTGAAGTAAGAGAGCAATAATAAATATTAATCTACTATTTTGCGTTTATGGTCAAGCATGGCCCTACGTTCTAAAGCCAATTCGTTGCGTTTTAGACGAGCGAAAGCAGTATGGTCGGTGTCATCGCTGGGGGTTTGTTGATCTGGGCAAAAGTAACCTGAGATATATAATAATTTCCAAAATATAAATATTACGCAATGCAATTTTTCTTTCAATCGAAATTTTTGTTTAATAAAATGGGCGAACAATAATATTATTTGTAATCCAATTTTTCTAAAAAATAAAAAACCTCTTTCCGATTCGTCGGACTCGAAGTAATAAAAACTTTGGATTTCGGGTTCCGGTTTCCATTTAACGTTCTTTTTGGCAGAGCGGGTCCCGTCGCCGGAAATGTCGCGAGCGGAAAAAAGAATTCCCTTAGTGATGCCTTTAACACGACCCTCGTTTGAATGTCCAGAGCCGGCTTCGATATAGCCCAAAGGGGATAGAACAAAAATATGTATTAGCAATACTATCGTTTAAAGGTTAAAATAACGATTAATGATTCATTTATCAATAGATATCTACTGTTATTTGCGAAAACAGATTAAGTGTAAAAATTAAATAATATATTTAAGACTAATGTAAGAATCTAAGAAAAAATAATTTCAAAATTATATTAGCTTACCGACCACAAGAATTAATATAGAAAAATCTCGATTGTATAGTTTCTAAAAAAAGGAAGTAAAAATAATTCCGTATTTATTTACGATTAGAAAGAGTATTTTCTGCGTCAGGATCAAAGACACTTATGGCTGTGGAACTCTCATCCATTTTTACTAGATTTGCGTTATCATCTGAGAGGATTTGGCTAAAAGTTTGCAGTGGAACATCTTTGTAAAAGGACAATTCGGCTGTGTTAAGGGTCAACTAATGGGAAAAGAATCATTATAAATTTAATTTTTTGCATTTAGGATTTACATATTGAGTACCTTTTAGGGTTGGCAAAATTTGTAATTATTTTACTTAAATCGCGATTAAAACCAAATACTAATATTTCAATTAGATAAGGTAGGGATTTAAAAAGAATAATATACATTATAATTTTTTTTAAACCTTAGTATGATATTTCTTTGTAAGTAGAAATTAATGCTTCAGGAGATCCGGTCAGAAAATTATTAAAAAAATATATATTGATAAGTCTAGAGCTAATTTGATTTTTTTCCAAATGAAAAGCCGTGCCAATCAAAAATTAGATATGTGCAAACTGTTTTAAAAAAATCTAACTAGTCGATATTAGTGAATCGGAAAGAAAATCATTTATGATATAAAACGAATACTATTATGAATATCCTCAAATATAACTCTTAAACCAAATTAAATATCTTATTTTTTGACAAATGGTGGTTTTATTATTTTTAATTTTATCTACTGTTATTTGCCAATTGGGTGCCCGGATGTCAGGACAAATTAAAATATTCGTTAACACCCTTAATTTGAAATTATTTTGATTATTAGTTTTGTGGCAATTGTTTAGTATGACCTAAAAATAAACATTTTAAATTGCTTTTTGTTATTCATCCCTAGTACCTTGCATATTATTATTAAATATCTGCACTGTATAAAGAATTTCCACTTGGTGAGGATGAGGGGCACTGATTTATTACATTTAAAACTCTGGAATCTAGATAAATTTTTATAAATATATCGGTATCTGGATACATTTTTAGTTGTATCTGTATGTATATATAGATAAATTTTGCTGCAATTTTATTTAATGACTTATTATATTTTTTTAAAAAAATGTTGGTATTATTTTTTGTATTAAATTTATTAAATATCTGGGCGAGTTTATTATTTTCAATTCAAGGCATATTTTATTTAACACAATGGATGACGAAAATATTGTAAATAAAATATTATAAATGTTTAGATTAATGTGGATGAAACAATCAACAGCTCAGCAAATTTTTTTAAACTTGATTGGACCAGCTTCAAACACAACCATCCTCAATGAACTTTCAAAGGTTTCAAATGATACTAATCCAGATTAAAACTCGAAGGATTTAATATATTTTTTTAGACACCTCCCTTCCAAGTGGATTGGGATATAAATTTTACCACCTATTATAAATTGACTGATTATTCTAAATGAGTGTGATGATTTTATTAGATTTAAAGATTATCTAAATATTAAAGTGTTGATCAGAAAAAATAAAAAGCGCATCAGTTGAAAACTTCTTAATGTGTATAAAAGGAGGTGCCTTAGTGATTAAATCTATAAAATGTTTATTAGAAAAGGCTAAAATAATATTTTTTTAATGATCTAATTATATATAAGAAATGTATAAAATGGAATCAAAAAAGTTTGATTTAATTCGTTGAGTTTTTAATTATAGTTAGTTTCAATTTTGGCATTATGTATACTTTACATGATTATAATTTAAAACATGTATCTTAATTGTATTGGTATATAGATAAATTTTTCATCTATATAGCTGTATTTGAAAACTATATTTTATCAAGTCTGGTTTGAACAAATAAAAATCTTCTTAATATATAATACTTAATCTACCCGTTTAGCTTAATAATTCACATGGTGCTCCAAACTATGTAAGTTACAGTCATGGTCAAGATATAAAACAGTTGATATATAAAGCTTACTTCATCCATATCGGTCCCGGATTTTAGAGTCTTGGGAATTGTTTGCACATCGTCTCGATTAAGGAAAGGCTTAAGAGAAGTGACGCTAGTTTTGCGTTGTTTTTCGCGCGATTTTGTGACGGCGGCCACGTCCAGAGCGTCCATGAATCCCGTGCTTTCGATGAGAAGTGGGTGGGAGGAGGACTGAGCGATGTTTCCTATTTTGAATGTATGCAATAAATGAAATGGCCATAATTTATTTTTTAAAAAACGACATTCTTTAACAGATCACAAGAATATATTTTTGGAAAGGTAACGCACAATTACAGTACATATTTATACTATGTTTTGAATATATAATTGCTAAATTTTTATCATTATAAATTATTTTATATGTTGCGTAAACGATGAAATTATAATCTTGGCATAATAAACTCCTATAAACAGGATTTAAATAAAGATATAAAGGAAATTTTCTAAAATCTCTAAATCCTTTTAGTCCACAAACTCTGCATAATTGTTGTAATAAAATTGACGCATTATTTGATGAAGGCTTTGTTTTTTATGTTTATTCAAATTAAAATGTTTTATAATATCTGATTCCAATCCAACCAAACTCGGATCTGTCAGAAGGATATTTCCTAGTACTAAGTCGGGTTCAAACCATGGTTTTTTATGTTATTTCGGATCCAACCTAGGAAAAATTTTAAATTATTATTGTTTTCCTAATTAATATATTTTATGAAATATTATTTTAACAAAATAACCATAAAAACAGTTCCAATAATGATAAAAAATATCGGATTGAATTAGACTTGGATCTATGATAGAAATTTCTCGAATCGGAACTGAAAAAAGATCCGATGCGGGTGGCTCTACTTTTCCTTAATTAATTATATAAAATATTAATTCCTTAAATTTATCATATTATAAGGAAAAAATGGTGATCGTAATGAAGCCCTCTATAAAGAGAGCCATTACGATGGCTATCCATCAAAGTAATAGCATTGCTATTCATGGTTCCTAACAAAGGAAGTAAGCTAGTTTTCACCTTTGTTATTACCTAATTTAATTGTTTTATTTTAAATTAAAATTTATATATATGAGCTATATCATTAGATCGTGATTTGGTTTTTATATGACCCTAGTTTTAAATTCGTTTTTAATAAAAATAAATTCAATCCTCAAAAAAATATGCTATAATTAAATTGTGGTCTAAAGAAAAATTTTGAATATTTCTAAACGCTAGCCATATGATTGTAACACAACATATTTTAAGGGTGAAATCAAAATAATTTGAAAAATTGGTCAATTAAAGTAGGACATATAATATAATTCATTACAAGATCAAACGCGTCTTTTATAAATTATAACATATTTAGAGCTCGGACGGAAACTGATAGGAAAAACATATATAATATTATAAACCAACAAAAAATAAAAGAAAACCAAAAAATTGGGTAGAATCGAAAGTGTCAAACTAACCCTAAATACAGGGGTTAAAATCGAACCCGGAGAAGAAAACCCGGGTTTTTAGGATGAACCCGAACCGAACCCCCGTTTATAAAATTTTTATTACTACCGTTTTTGGAATTGCTGACATGTGTACTAGATTGCGAATGTTTAACGTCTTCGTTCAACGGCTTTAGTTTTCTAATTTCGTATAGAAGGGGGAAAAAAATATGTAAGATATCGTAAATTTATTTTAAAGTAAAATAAAGTTTTAAAAAATAATAAAATAAATTGAGCGATTACTTGGTGGCAGTAACCAAGGGGTCCGAGTTTCTTTTGGACGGCAACAATTTATTATTGGATTTGGCGTTTAGGGAAATTTTATTGTCTAACGCTTCTTCGATACCTTGATGCATTTTTTATATATTTTAAAACATATTTTTATTTCAGTGGGAAATGAATGGCTCGTTTGAAATAGGATAGAAGGGGCAAGGCATCCGAAAGATAGACGATAATAATATTAGCAAATGGGAATAGGGGATTTAAGAAATAAAACATTTTTTCAGTTCTTTAAAAAGAATGTTTAATGTTTTAGGCAGGGCCTGCTTAGGCTTTCGATACTCATTAGTTTACCAGACTCATAATGAAACAAACATGAAGCTATCCAACAGCTGAGTTTATAATATCTTATGAATAGACATTTATTCAAAAATGCAATATATTAGAATTTTAACAATAATGATTATAAGTTGACTTTAAACCTCACATAATATATTCTTTACAAGATAAAACAACCACACTGATAAGATTATATAACATCATATAAAAAGATTTCTATTTTTTAGTAAATGGATTCAACAATTAATAGTAACTGTCAAGCATCAGAAAATATACAGTTGAAAACAAGAGCTAAATATAAACATTCTAAAACAGAGTCAAGGACAGACATTTAGTTATAAATGCAAATAAAAGTGAATTTTAACAATAATGATATTAGTTTTGACTCTGAATCTGACAGAAATTTTTCTTTACATGATAAAACAACCACTTTGATGAGATTATACCAATCCATATACAGGATTAATTTTAAATTTATTAGAAATAGACTCAAAAATTAATAAATCACTGTCAACAAAATAATTTCATTTTACAGTGCAAAACGGCTAAATATAAATCACCGAATTAGGGATGCCACAACTACCACTTAATCGGTTTAGGACGTCCTTTAAGAGTAGCAACATGAGTAAAAGTATGAATCACAAAATATGAACTCGACAACCTCAACGTTAAATCTACCATACGTCTGGCAACCTTTGACAATAAGCTGGCTTTCTACGATCAAGCAAATTATCAAGCTTTTCTCTTAAAACCCTGCTCACGCGATATTATGAATTACCTGTCTACCCTGAAACTCCTTTAAATGCATCCACTCACAAGTGATGGTAGAAAAGTCATCCTCTACTTCAAGCGTGATTCCTCACACGTGTTTTCACCTAATATTTCTGCAAAGACTAACAGCACCTTATATCAAGCAACAATGGTTCGTTTTAAAAAAATCCACTCAACTTGTCAACCGCATGCTTTTTGGAAGCATACCATCCACTATTGTTCCACTGCTATACGGAGCTAATAACTATCCATTATCAAAATAAAGATATTCGCCGGAACCACTTGGCACTGGTTAACCGCCAAGCTAATAATAAGCAGAATACTATTCAGGGTATCCCCTCATCTGGGCCTCAATTAATTAGGAGTCAATGTGAAAGGCAGATGTGAGATCTCTCTTTATATGACCCGGATGCACTTGCAAACAAACCCCAGTGACGAAATCCTGATTAAAATATACTATTCAAATATCTTTAAATCCTGGCGTAGCGTGTTCCGAATCCCATCCTCACCTTACCCAGAATATTCCCAAGTCTTTAATTGCTATGTTAATTCCCTCCAATTTAGAGAAAGATTAATTCCTTCAAGCAATGGAATACAACAAGGGGACCTTCTAAGTCCCTTTTCATTCTGTCTAGGCATTAAAGAAAGCTTGAACTTTTTGACACATCTGAGACCCTCCAGTAGATATAAACGGGTCTTTCATCGAATTAATTACCGGCATTTTACAGAAGATAGAAGTGACATCATCGAGCCCCCCAGCCCACCAAGCTTTCTTATTATTGAACTACCTTTTAGTTCCGAGGATTTTGTATAGACTCCGATTCTCGCGAATCTTCGAATACAATGTCATCCTTGCTGTGCGTGAGCCTAAATACCTTATAGAAGAGATACTCAATCTTAATTTTGGGAATCTATCTTGGTTAAAGGCCACATTACCAACCAAAGCTGGTGCATTGACATAAGGTCGCCCTCGCTACTTTTTATTAGCACGTTCATGTCCTTAAGCCTAACATGTGCATCCTGACCCCTTGCTGGGCAATCGATATCTGGAAATCTTTCTCATTAGTCGATCCTTCTCATCAGCACAACAGAAAGACTGGGATAACTAAACATTTAGTTGACAATTCGTTGCATTCCTCAAATTGAAGAACCTAAAAAGGAACATTCTCTACTCTTCTCTATTTATGTAGGTAGTGTTTGCGAATTTCTCGAAGCTTTTCATAGAGAAATGTTGACCAACTGCTAAGAAACAATTAACTACGTCATGCCATTGGTCTAAGCATTTGCAAATGGATACCCTATCACTGCATAAGGCTGCCCTTCTCTGCACTATAAGCATTGTAGAGAATGATACTATATTAAGAGCCTTAAAATGTGCTGGCATCCGGTCAATCATCGAGCCTACTGGACTAAAGGTTCCGATGATAAAAGGCAGATGTATCATGCTCCCTTGGAAAAAGGGGAAATTCACATGTATGTCTCATAGATGCTGAGTGGAATATAAACTAGTTAAATATTCGCCAATCACCTACATAATCGCCACGACTTTAAAATTGCTATGCTCTCCCGTCCTAGCCTTTTTTAAAGTGTTATGACACCGGATCTCAGCAAGGACCGAGGATCACGAAGTGGGTTACTACCTTCGTCAGAGGATGACCCTAAAAATAGTAAAAAGTAATTTTCTCCGCTTCAATAAACGAGACTCCATAAATTAAAATCCTATACTTGGGGTACGTTTTGAACTACTCAGCTGGGTAATGGATATATTAACTAAACCTCGATATTTTATATCTCTATATTGTGTATTGTTTACATTTATATAATCCTCTAAATGCTTTGAAAATTGAATTGTTTTTATTTTGTATGAAAAAAATTCTATAGTCTACTAAATATATTGCAATCCTTACTAAATGGATACCAATATTATATAGAAAAAAAAATTTTTTTACCAATAAATTCAAAAACGTGGTGTAAGGAACTCGGTATTTTTGCGAACATTCTTTCATTAAAATATGCAAAAAATAGCTCGAATAAATCATCAGTGAGGTAATTGTGGATTTAGTGCTGATATTTTCCCAAGACAAATTAGCACCTCTCATTTGCATGGTTTTTTTTATCATCATTTATCAAAAAAACACCAAATTTTCAATGGAGCTAGAGAGTGTTTATTACTTAATAATATAAATATCAGCGAATTTTTTTCGGCACGCGCTCCTTTTAGCCGTTATCAAATATAGTAAGGTTATATATACGAATATATATTTTAATTCTATAACGCATCTTCATAAGATCAATCAACTCTTATTTATATATTATGCATACACTTTTCGCATTTCTCTTCATTTCAACAAAGAATTTAAATTTCTCTAATAGGTAAATATATTCATAATTTTTTTTTAAAGGATAAAAAATTTGCTTTTTTTCAGAATTATTAAATATGCCTCCTTGCGTCTTCCTTTTGGGTATATACTGGATAAACTGGAAAAACGATCAAAAAATAAGATTAAACTAATATCTTTAAGAAATATAAAATATGTCTAATATTGGGCTACTAAACACCAGCGTCCAGGAACATGTTTTCGATATTAAAGGAACTCAACTTTTAGTCAAATCACATCACTATTACTCAAGATTATGAGATTTAGTAAATTTATCAAAAGTGCAAAAATTCATATAAGATAGGGATTTTTCTAAAAATTATTAAAATCTTTGGAAGCCTATATTTTAAAGATCTCATAATCCTTTTAAATTCAGCTTTCCAATTCATATTTTTAGCATGATGAAAAACAAAACGCTTTTATCAAAAAAAGTTTATTTTTTAAATGTTATTAATTAAGAGCTACCAGTTGTCCTGAATTTCGCTTGAAATGTTTTCGCCGTTTTCCGCTTCCGTTCCTTAGTCTCTTGTTTATCGGAAACGACGGTATCGATTTTCTCGTTCTCGATTTTCCCTTTTTTGGTCTCGATCTCATCCGCATTAGAATCATGTGATTTTAGATTACGAGTCTCCTCGCTCGAGCCTGGTAATAATTTTTGAAAAAATCAATTTTAGCATATCAGTTAAAAAAAACCTTTGCTTTTAAACCATTACATCTGATCTTATTATGTAATGTAATATATTTTCAACCATTAAGACCTACTAAATCCAATGTTCCCATAAATATAAGAGCTTTATAAAATAACCGGTTTGGAACCGAAATCTAAACTTCTCTATAAAATATCTTGGAATCGAAATCTTTAACAAAAGTACAACTAATTTAATGTTATTCTAAAAAGTAAACCTTTTCTGTGATTCATTTTGAGTTTATTTAATTGCTTCTAATTTAGGATTTATAGCAGCACCGATCTGATATTTTTTTAAAAGTCCAATATCGGCGTCGATTCGTTACCAATGATTAATATCGGTACAGCCATATTAGCATTCATTAAGAAAATTTAGAATCCGAGCGGTCGAATATAAGAACCGAAAGTAAAAACCGTTTTATTTTAATTCACAGGAATCGATTAACATTCTTTTTAAAAACAGGTTCATGAATAATAGCCCTTTCGTTATTCAATCGAATTATTCGTATTAAATCATTCATCATATACAGATCATAAATTTGGTAAGAGCTCTATTATTTATTCGTGTTATATACTGAGAATAGATGATGTGGCGAATAGTAAAAAAAGAGACGAAAAGATTGAACAAAAATATTTAAGAGATTCAATTCATCATTCAACCAATTTTCGAGAGAATGATTTTCAATTGATTTGAAAATAACAATTATTCGATGATGTATGACTTGATAATAATGAATAAAATGGAATAAATATAAACTGAGACCAAAGATTTGTAAGCAACATACATATTAATCCATTATTATCATAATTAACATATAATTTTATTTTAGAATGATCGGGAATAATATTAAATACAAAGATTAATATTAAGGAAAAACCATAAAGAATAATATTCAAAACATATTAGTTCTGTACTCACTTTTTGTGAGGAGCGTTATGCGAGAGGAAGGGCTGAGGCTATTTTCAGATTTAACTTTCGTTTCCTGTATCAGATTCATCCAGTTTGTTACTATTCCACTGGCTAATGATTTAATGAGTGCTGAAAACATTATTTTTAAAAATATATATTAGATTTGCTTTTAAATAAGGTTTAAAATTTTAAAAAGATAATATGGGTGTTTGATATTAAATATGAAGTAATTATCTACATAAACTTCAAGGTGTCTTTTCAAGTTAGAGCTATTGACCTTTGTAAAGGATAAGTTCTTTTTACACAAGCAACAAGTGGTAGTGATCATGGGTATGGAGTTTATTTACCATTATTTTGATTTTTTTCCTCTGCCCCATATGACTACAAACCTAATAAAGAAAGAGTGTGAGGTCCTTTATGTATGTTCCACTGCCAATTATTGGAATGGGCATCGAATGTATATTTTTTCTCTCAATGTTTTATAATAGAGCCTATTTAGGAGTTAGATCGGCAGACTTGACATTGAGGCGTTCAATTGGAAACAAACTTATGATGTGTTTGGCCAAAAAAAATATATTGAGATTCATTAAGACTTTTAAAATTTTGAACAAGGTGGTAAAGATAATGACCCAGAGTGTTAATAAAAAAATTTTTAAATCAAAGTAATTTTTATATTTTCTTCAAAATATGTCAATAACTTTACAAAACTTTAATAAAAAAGGGTAATATACATTTAAAATCAATATCAAATCAAAAATCGAAGTTTAACAATTAGTTTTGTGTAATATGGTATGAAATTCATAATATTTAAACCAGGGTTGGCATGTCGGTCAATTGACTGGTCATCGGAGGAGGTCAAATACTCTAAAATATTAATGGCGAATAAATATTTTGATATAATTAACTAGTATGCATTAAAAGCATGTTTATCAATCTTTTTAGGTTACAATTATTTAAAAAATTATTTGTGTCATGAATTGTTAAAAACAAAAGAATTTTTTTTATTGTTAAAATATAAATATGTAATTTTTCTAAATATAGTAATATTTTTAGTTATTTATTTGCCTAATCATTGCCGTTTCTCGCCTTCTTTATTTTTTTCAATTCATTTTTCTTAAAAAAAATAAAAATACCCGATTTATTATAATCATAATATAATTTTTTCATTCTTATTTTTTAATAAATTTAAATTTTATTTAATATTTAGCCGATTATAAATTATATTAATTCTCATTTGTTTTACTTACACTTGCTATATTTGGTTTTTAAAATTAATTTTCATTTTAATTGTTCTGGTCAGATTTACGGAATATTATTCAATTCTGGTAAAAAGTTATATATATTATATTATATTTATAATATTAAGAAATTATTGGAATAATTGGTCGATAATTATAAAATAGTTAAGATTGATTAACTTTACAATAATCAAAATCATTTTTTGTTAAATTTTAATATATTAGGGATTATGGTCAAACCAAAGCATCATGTTTGGAAACATTTTCAAGAAGTATGCGATGGTAAATCAGTTAAAGCGGTGTGCAAGTTTTGCAAGATGTCCTATATCACCCACGTTGATAGAATGGTCAAACATTTATTAAGCAGCTGTACTATGTGCCCTGTTATAATTAAGGAAAAATTTTATTCAAATTCCAAAATATTAACCTCTACAAAAAATATCACAAATGTAATTTGTAATACTTCTAAGTCTAACTCTAATGAAGAATTGGGTGAAATTAGTGAGAATGATTATCAAATGAACAATATTTTGTCTTGTGACTCAGGAGAATTTGATTCCATTATTTCTAATCAATCTACAAGCAAGGCGATTAAATATAAATCTCAATTGACCGGTCATTGACCGGTCAAATGCACAACCCTGATTTAAACTATTTTTGTCGTTCGAGATTATGTAGAATTAATATTCTCTACAACGTTAAATAAAATTAATCACGATAAATTCCAACATAACATGTTTGTTTTTTATTAGCTATTCGAGTGAAACTTTTCCAGTCAGATTCAAATGGAACCCGCCCACTGGGGTAAAAATAAAATATTCTCCCGTAATATGAAGATACGTAAAATTTAAAAAATTGATAAATAAATTCTACGTTTTTTTTAAAAAAAATATGAAAACTTAGTAAGCACTCATTATAGTTCATCAAATTTTTAAGCAGAAAATAATTTTTATCTGTATTAAAAATGTTTTTTAAATAAATAATATATAATTTTATTTAAAAGTACTGATTATTTTACCAGAACTGTCAGAATCGAAATTGGAAAAATCTAGGGACGGTACCAAATCCGACACTTCTCTAATTTTAAGCCAAATATATTTTATGCCATTATAAAGTATTATAATAGAACTAAACTGTCAAAGCTAGCCTTTCACTAAAGCCCTGTTGATTATGGCGGAAGAATTAATGCACAAATTTCTCAGTGACAATTTTTTTTTATAAATGGGCAGAGATAAACAAATAAGCTAACAAATACAAAGTAGTCTGGTGTTAAATTTCACATTCAACAGGTCACGATAAATACCAATTTATTCACACAAACAATGCCGAGATAGTTTCCCTCCTTATTTGTGAATGAATATTCCAAACAGGACACTCTCCTTGACTGACCAAAAACACCTGGATTTTTAAAATCCCGTTTGAAAAAAAGTAGGTATTTAAAATCCCTTTTGAAAAAAGTAGGTAAACCTTTTTCGTTTCCGGTCCATTCCACCTTGACGAGCTGTTTGATAAATTTAGCCGTATCGTTGGTCTTGAGCAAAGGTATGGACACTGGTAATTTGTTTAGAAGGGTGAGCAGTTCCAGCATAAAGGGTCCATTGTTCTTTTCCTTAGCCGACTTGAGCCAATTATTCAGAATATTCCAGCAATCTCCGTGATGCACGAAACTATGTTATGGGAGAGAGAGGGTGTAAAAAAGATAGAGATATTAATACCCATTACATTTTTTTGGGGGCGATAAAAAATATAAAACAAACATGATTCTTGCTTTTAAGATAATAATAATTTACCTGTTTAATATGTCTTCAGAATCGGTGGCGTTAAGAACGTTTATAATCATGCATTTGTAAACTAGCTTGTCGAATCCGTATTTCATTAACCTAGTAATCGTGATTATGAGGGGACAGGTAAAAATTATTATATTGTAAGATCTGTAAAAATCCGTCCGAATGATTTAACCATTCAATACTCCGGGGTTTATAGTAGCACTCCAGGCATGCTAGAATTGATATTATATATGATCTAGAATTTTCAGTAGCTTAATTAAATATATCATGGAATATATATTCCAAATTTTATTTATTTTAATTAAGCAGTTTTTATGATATAGGTATTTCGTGAAGGGTCTGTGAAACCCCACTAGCGCAAATACGCAAGTATTCTTTAAACAGTAGTTAATAAGATAGAAATTTTCTTTTTCTTAAATTTCTATTTTATTTTAACGAACAAATAATGTATTTTATGAAATGTAAGTTTTTATATCCAATCAATTTTTTGTACTTAATATTTATTTTACAAAATTTTGGTAAAGGCTATAATTATACTTAACATTTTTTATCTAAGCATAGTAAATTAAATAAAATAAATATTTTTTAATGTTTAAGGTTTAGTTCTTTCTAGCTTATATCAAAATATTAAAAAAAATAATCAAAATATTTTAAAAAAAAAATAATGAATATAAATGGAGATTATATACATTTGAAATTGGGGTTTATTAGACATACTAGAGTATTAAAGGGTTAAAGTAATATAGATGCCGCTAGAAAAAACAATGTTTTATTTTGAAATTTTTCTTGTGTTTTTAACATAATTCAAATTATAAAACAAAATCTAAAGGTAGGATTTCTTAAAACGTAAAATGTTATTGTAAAAAATAAAATATTATTCAAATAAAATTAGCCAAAAGAAAATTAGGATAGAGTGTTAGATTTTAATATAGTGGTAATTTTTTAAATATTTACATGCCTTACAGATATATTTTGCAATATACAAACCAAATTTTATATATTTTGGTTGAGCCGTTTTTAAGATATATGCATTTCGCGATGGATCGTGGCTTTGAAACCTCAGTAAAATGTTTACATAAGTTTTTTTAATCTTAATAAAGATAGGAAATAAAAATTTTAATCTTCCATTTTATTTTGATGAATAATTAATTTTATGAAATGTCTTGATTTTAATATCCAATAAAAAAAATTGTGCATAATATTTATAGTTAAAAAGTTTTGCCCTTTTTTTAGAAATTATCTCCAACATTTTTGCAAGCCTAATAAATTAAAATGAATAAATATTTTAAGGTTAAGGTTATTTCTATCTTATATCAAAATATTGTAATGGAAATATATATTTATTTTAAATTGGGGTTCATTAAACCTGATCGAAGCATTTACGTTATTTTTTCAAAGAGTATTGAAGGGCTGATAGTATTCAAATAAATAGTTATTCTGATTGGGTATAGTTTTAATGGAGGTAATATCTTTAATAAAAAAGCTAAAGATTTACAAAAGACTTTTTCTCACAAAAAATAAATCGGAATTTTAGGCAAAATTCGGAAATACTAAAAATAAATCTCATTTTTCGAGTCGCTCAAAATCATGGGCGAAGAAAAAATCTCCCGATCCTCAAATAGTCACTTTTATAGAACTTTCATTACTTGGGTTTTCTTTTAAATTAATTCATAAGCGTAACTTTGGCTGATGGTCATTTTTTGCGAAAATATTAAAGGCGCAATGCAAAATAGGTCTATTCAAAAAGAAGAAAATATTCGATTCGCGAATTCGAATAGAATAGAATAGAATAGGAAAGAATTCAAATAATAAATTATTCGTTTTGTTCAACTACCAGAAATAGCGGAATATTTATTTTGTAATTTCCTCAAAACTTTCCATAATATTGCCTGCCTTTTTAAAATTTAGTCACAAATGAGATTGACCCTTGATGATCAAGTTGAGAAAAATTTATTTCAAATAAAAATACAGTAAAGATAGTGAAAAAGTTGTTTGTAATCATTGCAAGTGCACTGTAAAGTGTAAAGAAATAACAATATCTCCTTTCATTAATATTATAATGGGTTACACACCACTTGAACAAAAAGAGTTGCATTTAAATAAAAATTTAAGCCCAAATCCTAAACTTTTATATATCTACGAAAACTAATTCAAGGATAACTTATTAAAGCTCTTAATGAATAGCATTCATACCATTAACTATAAATTTAAAATTTTTTTACAAATGATCTTATTCATCAGTAAAGTCAATATACTCTAACAAAAGATAATAGTATAGACAGATAAATTTTTCTATTATAGAAAAATATTTTTTAAAAAATTTAAGTATTTTTTGGTATGAATTATATATTTTTTTAAATTATTCAAGTAGAACACAAATAGTAAAACGAATCGAACTATTCGATTGGTTATGGAATGGCCCAACTGTATATTTGGTGTTGTATATGATAATATCGACATCATACATGCCAATCTTCTTTATTTTTACTTGGTTAAATTGTTATTCATTACTCATACTTAAAAATAATTCAAAGGCTGTCATATTTCCATTTTTACTATAAAACTGTGACAAAAATTGTTTTTTTTTAAATGATGCGTGTTGATGCGTGAAACGCATTATTTAGAAATAGAACATTACTCTATCACCCCTCGAGGTAATCATCTCGTGAATAATGTCACAGGGGTACTGGGTCGGTAAATATTTGGCGTTAAATAAAGAGCCATCATAAGGAATTTGGGTGATATACTTTCGCTTCAATCACGATTTTCAGAATCGTTTAAATAAAGAAAATTCGCCATTAAATCTGATTAGCTCTCTGATCTGAATATTATTGTATGTTATGGCTAAATCGCATAATCGATCAATACTTAATCAAATCGTGTAATATCTTACAAAATTGTATTCTACCTGATGGAATACATTTCCAGAGGAAATTTTTTTTAGAAAATGCGCTAAATAAATAATTTAAAGTTAGTTAAAGTTAGTTTTTTCAGTGTAGAGGGTGATTTACCGACCGAGTGTGTTTTAGCAATAATCATCATCTGTTTCAATTCATACTTTGATCCTAGATTTAATTATAAATTTTTAAGTTGTCTAAATAAAATTTTTTAATCCTTCATAACCTTAGAATGTCCAAATTTATGATTAGAGTATTAAACTTGTGTTATAATGACCTCGACGGGGTGATAGGTTAATTTCGTTGATTTTGAGTTTTCGCTATGAATAAGCAATGCGAAGAGAAGCATTTCCACAATTTAAATTTAATTCAAAAAAATTGTGAATATAAATTAGCCGAATTTCAAAATTCAGTTCAATAATGATTAACCCACTGATCCGGGTTTACGATAACTTTAAGTTATAACTGAATAGTTTAAAAAGTGATTAAAACAAACCCGTGTAATTCGGATATCGATTCGACGTCTTTAATGTTACCGCTCGCTCCTAAAAATGGTTCCAGCTTATTTAATATCATTTCCGGATCTTGGGAATCTTGATTATCCTAGACATAAAATAAATTATTTTTTTTATTAGAACATTATTATTGGCAGGAAAATTGCTAAGAAAATAAGAAATATTCTTAAATTAATGAATATATTTATAAATATTCGGGAATATAAGAAATTCATAGGGCTGCGCGGTGCAAAGAAGCTTCGATACCGATTTTGTGTGTGTATTTGATAGATTGAAATTGTTTAGACATCTTTATAAGTTTTAATTAACGTGGATTTCATTATTTTCATTCGTGTATTACTTATATTAATTATTATAACTATCTTTAGACCTGTACCCGATCAAACTATCGAAGACTGGCAACGGGCCGCGTTTTCAGACAAAATCATTGAAAGCGGCGTAAAATGGCGTAAAGACATTCATTTTTTTAAATAATATATAATCAAGGTGTTGAACTGAACCGTGAAAGCGAAATAAGCCGTTATAACTTTCGACACCATATCCATTATAAGAAAATTTTAAAATGAGAGAGTTGAACAACAAATCGGTTTATAATAGTTTTTATAAAAACCGAAACTAGCAGATATGGATTTACAAACCAGAACGAACCGTTATAACTTCATTTTAAAATAACCGTAGTGGGACTAAGCCGTTTTAAATTTCATACTAAGAACCGGAATTAGTGAAATTGACCTAGGTAGGGCCACTAGTGGGAAGGGATATTATCGTTATTAGGTTATAAGTTGGTAGGAGTTTATTTGAATTTCCTTTTTTTCGCTAATTTTGATTTGGTAGTGTGGTAGTAGTGAAGTGCATCGGGGCTAATTTCAAGCCCGGCCCGGCCCGAAATTTTTTTTAGAAAAGTTTTGCCGGCCCGGCCCGAACCAGAAATTTTTTAAAAAGTTTTGCCGGCCAGGCCTGAACCCGAAATTTTTTTAAAAAAAATTTACCGACCCAGCCCGGCCCGAATTTATTTAAATATAGAAATTAATCTTTATAATTACTCAAAATAAAAGACATATGTTATATGTTGTTTAGTTTCAATAAATAAAATCAAATATTTTTATTTTGTAAAAAATTCAATATAAAATTGATAAATTTAGATATATTTAAAAAAATTTCCAAGGTCCGACCAGACCCGGCCTGAATTTTTTTTAAATATTAGGCCCGGCCCGATCCAAATCCGATTATTTTAAATAGAATTTGGCCCGAGCCCGGTCCGAAGTCCGTTTGGGCCGGGCCGGACCTAACTTTGCAGATCTCTAGTAGTAAGAGCGTAAAAGGGGAGGGGGGTAAATGTCCATTGGCTCAGGGTGGGGGCCTAGAAGCCCAAGACTATACTATTACTTTTTTTATAAATGCGAATTGATTTTTAAGGATATTGCTACAAAAAAAAATTATCAATTAAAAATTAAATATGCACTCTTTATCGAAAAAAAACTAATTATAGATTCAAAATAATTTTGTGATTTTACAGATTAAAAATATTTAATTTCAATTTGCAGCACATTAGATGATTCTGCTCGCAATGCCAATCCAACGATCGAGAAGACCCTTTAACTAAATGTGCTAATTGCTGAGATAGATGCGAAAGTTCGATTACATTCCCTTTCCAAACTTTAGGAACGTCAATATCCAGTGGATGAAGTTTTAGGACTATAATAAGTGAACACCAAAATAAACAACTATTTGTAATCTTGGGGAGTAGTTAAATTAAAAACACTATACTTTATGGATTATTTCCTTCTATGAAATATCAAAATAATGTAACTCCTATATATTCCAATATTAAAAAAAAATATAATTAAATAAATTTTGATTATAATTAAAAAATTCAAAATTATATAAAATAAAGATGAAATATAGGTTTAAATGAGAAGAGCGAAGTTTGGAGAGAAGACTATCTTTGAACCATATATAATTCGCTTTTAGAGTAACTATGACTAGCTTATGAAGAAGCCTTCTCAAATCCTGAGTAAATTAAAGATGTGAGATCCTAAATCTTCGAAGGATAATGCAAGCTTACCAAAGGTAGATAAGGATGTGGATATTATTGGAATAGATATGATCTGATCATCTGAAATGTCCGAATATTTGAAAATTTTAAGCTGTTCTTTATGCTCGAGTACGTTTGGAGTTTGTTTGGACAGGGCTCATGGATCTATACAGGAATAGCCCAACAGAAATTGGTTCAGTTTCCTAGAGATCAAGGTGATTCCATCAGGTCGCTTTCCATCGGGTCTAAAAATTCATATTAGTTCAAATATTGCAGATATATCGATGGATTTTAAAGCTCATTGGATCAAGAAATTGAATTGGTTATATCTGAAAAAAAAATTCCAAATTTTGCCAGGCACATTAAAAAAAATTTTCGTTGAGTTGTAGTGTTGTAATAGTTATACTTTTTCTACCGCCTTTTTCCTGGAGAACTGTGAGATGGATATTTTTGATTTACACATGATATCGCGATTAATTTCATGGCTAATCTTCAATATTTTCGAAATTTTAATCATAAAATCCCATGTTTATGAAATTTTAGGTTTTTTGTTATTCAAAGGAGTTGAATAACCGCTATTATTTAATCAAAATGTAACTTAATAAAAATATTTTAAAGATAAAACAATAGACTATAATAATTAAAAATGAAAACGGGAAAATACAATCCTTTATTTATTAGAAAAATTTGTAAATTTGAGTAATGGCAATCACATGTATTGATTGGCCTTAAATTTTGATGTATATTATTTAATAAAATACAAATATCTATAGCCCTTTAACATATAAGGAAAACTAAGCCTCTATAAGATGTATAAACGAAGACTTATCTTCATATCTTTACCACCTTCTCCTCTCTATGTAATATTTTACATTGAAATTTAATAGTCATGGAATTAAATTCTGTGGAGATCTAATTAAGATTCTGGCAGTTGGTTATGATCTTAGGTGGGGGTGGGGGGGGGGGGTGGAATCATATAAAATTAACGGTTTTTAAAAACATATTACAAAATTCATTTAGTTTTTAAAAATTTCACTCCAAATTTTGAAATATGATTAAAAGCGCGAATAGTTAGTTGATATTAAATTATCTTTAAAATATAATAAAATAGGTTTTAACTACAAAAGTAAAACTTACCTCCAAAAATAATATTAAGGCGTTATTTATACTAAGCGGGATACAGCCAAACGTTACGATATGCAACGCTGGATATATTAGCAAATTAAATATAATTAGGTAAAATTTATGATGGCTGCGCGATGCGCTAAAATGAATTACATCGCTATAGTATATAAAAAAAAATTTTACCTATATCTGATCAAAAGATTTTTATAAAAGAAAAAGGATTAAAACTATTATTAAATTATAATAAACATCTATATTATATTAGAATTATATACATGTGCTCAAATAAGGAAATTATCGCATTGCCAATTTTAAGATTATAAAAGTTTCATATTGATTCGTTCCTTTAAGAAATTTGGTTATAAGATATGTTTTCAATATATTAAAGTTATACTATTTTGTGTCAAGATTAATTTTTACTAAAAAATGGCCTTAAAATTCCAAATTTTTACAAAAAAAAATGCAAATTTTGTGTACGTAGACGTACCATTTGTCTATTTATGTTTTAGAAAAATAGCTTGAGAACTACATCGGCAATTTATTTTTTTCCAAGCAATTTATACTTTAAATTATTTTTTGAGCGGGGTTTTTTAAATTTTAAAAATCTGATTTTTCCGGGAATATATTCCATCATGTTTGCAATAAGTGCTGTATGAATTTAAGACAATTTTGCCATGAACTTTTGAACTCAATATATTATATTAGCTTTTTTATAGATTTTTTATATAAATTATAAATGACTCAAAGGTTAACCGCATAGTTTGCTACATTTAATAAGTTAGGCATTCTAAGCATGCTGGTATATATTTACGGAAAAATAAGAATTTTTAAATTTAAAAAACGTGCTTAAAAAATGATGAATTGAAAAATAACACATTACCGCTAGTAGCGTTATTAAACGGCCCGATTAAGTTATTAGCCAACTTAATATTATGTAAGCCTCGAGATTTGGCAAATATAAGTCCAAGCCTTTCTGCCCTCTATGATCAAAATCTCCAAATCCACCTAATATTATTTTAGCTAAAATCTTAATTGGTTCGTTTTACGGGGAGGGGGGGGGGGTTAATATTAGCCGCTAGCATATATACTTTTCCAAATTATAAATCCCTTTTAAATGTTAAACAACTCTTGAATTATTTTGGCGATCTGAGGCCGAAGTTCTGTCTGCCCGCAAGTTTGCACGAGCCTGAACATAAAGAATTACTGTGGGAAAAAAATCAAAAAATTTAATATGACAATGAACTTTCGAATTAAAATTTCAAAAAAGGTTATGCTTTTTCATATTTTTTGGAGATAAATAAATAATTCTGAAAATTAATATGGAAATTTTTATCTCATTATCTTATATCATGTAAAATATTAGTTAAAAATACAAATATCGTTATCGAATTGGTTTTGGATAAAATGTCCTACGGGAAAAGATCTGGGATCATAGCCATATAAATTGGAAATATTGTTTTCAAAGTCTTAATTTATAAAATCATTACTCAATTCTAGTTTATTATGATCTATCTTATAAAACACTTACCATAAATTTCTTATAAAATGAGTATAGATATAATATTTTCCTCTCAGAAAATTCGGTAGATCTGTATAAAATATTTATTGTTTTTAATAATATAAAATCATCTAGTTTAATTAAAAAAATTTAAATATCTTTTAATTAAATAGATCATTCCCTGGTGGAGAAAAATGAAGTTAACAAAATGGGGAACTTAAATATGGCGAAAATCTAATTTGAAGTGACATGAATAAGATACTCAATCAATTCTTTCAATAATGTTATGAATGAAAACAATCAATAAGAAAGCACAATCCCTAAATATCATAGGTAGGTAATAAAAAAGTTTTAATCAAATTTATATGTATAATTTACTTTGGTCATATGTTTTGCGGAATAATTTAAAGAATGCTATCGCGAGCAATTTTGAGAAATAATCGACTTTGATTTCACATGCAATGAGAATTATGAATTTTTAATTATATATTATATTGCTCTATTCTTCATAAATATTGAAGTAGCATGGTTTAAATAAATTTTACACATAACTCAACACAGGTATATCATGAAATATTCCATAAATACTGAAGATATCTACTTAATTCCCAAATTATAAAAATCTTATGAAGATTAAAGAAAAAATTCGTTACAAACCGCTTATTAACAGTTATAGAAATTTTGTAGTTACTCCATCTTGAAAAATATATTTTTTAGATGTCGATTAAAAAAAATAATAATAAAAAAAGAGAACGTAAATAAAACGAATCGAAAAATAAATAAACTTTTGGATTTTGATAAAACACGAAATTAATGTATTATTTTTTTTTTATTCCATAATGAATAAAATCTCATTCTTTCATGATGCATTTTACAATTTTTATAAAGTAAATAAGATTATTAATCATGCTCAAATTTCGCCTGTCCGTTGTAATCAATTCTATTGTTTTATATCATCATCATTGGTTACATTGATAATATTCTTGCAGTTTAGATTGTTCATTTTATATAGAAAAATTATGCAATAGATGTAAAAACAAAGATAACAGAATATGGAAAAGAAAAATCTATAAACGATCCGCCTGATAGCTATTCCGAGGAATACGATCAATATGGTTTCAGAATCATTAAAAGTAAAAAAACTATAGTTAGATTGTTGCCGTTGGAAGAAAGCATGAGGTATTTATTGAGTGAAGGTAAATATTTTGCAAAGTATATTTCACATAACTTTTCTAAAAATATGAAGCATATAAAACTACTTATGGATTGGATCCTGTATGGAAAAATTATAGAAGAAATCACAAATATCAAAGACCTCCTATAACACCTAGAAAAAAATGCATTGTAAAATATGTTTATAAATCCTTTGATAAAATATAATAATATAGAGAGATTCCGTCATTATTTCAGCCAGCCCTTGTCCAATTTGTAGAGATCAATATTTAGTTCTTGATTATAAGGTAAAATGTTCCTTTCATATTTATACATATATGTCTTTATTTATTCAGAATGTTCATTTATTGTCACAATTTATTTGTCCATATAGTAATGAAATTTTATCAACCAAGATTACTGGTTTATTTTATTTTTAAATTAATATTAAATATATTAAAATTTAGGCCTTTGTCAAGAAAAGGATTTTAAATTAAGAGTTGAAATTGCCAAGGCTTTTGATTATGGTTTAGTTTTTATTTTATTATACAAAATAATTCCCTTTATTTTTAGGATTTATTGAGTTAAAGCTACCATATATTAAATATAATTATCAAGATTATTTTCCAAAGCACTTTGGCAAAAATTATGAAAAATCTTCAGCAATATAAAATATTTTTTTATAAATAAAAGTTGTTTAGAAATTTACCAATGTTATAAATATCCCATTAAAACCCTGTAAATTCAGTTTTTTTAGCCTGGGCTATCCCATAATTTTTATAAAGTGGGAGTCACTTAATTCCCTATCATAGAGAAATTATCATTTTTATTTGATGAAAAAAGAGAAAACATTTTCTATAAATTTAGAAATATTTTTCAAACTTCACCCAATTTTTTAAAAACAAATTAGACTCATATGTTTGACCCTACTTGCAAAAAACATGTTAAATATTCAAAGCAAGATATATATATATATGGAAATAAATATGTTCCACAATGAACGTGTTCTAATCTAAACTTACAAATAATTTTAATGAATAAGTTTTATCATTTGTAAATTCTTAGAGAGTAATTAATTTTTTCAAATTAGGTGTTTAAAATAGGAGTGTGTAACAACCTCCTTTTGAAGGTTGATTTGTGACTTATTACAAATAGTTTGTTATACATATTTTTTAAATTTTTATCATAACCATAAGTCATTTAAAAATTACCATCAATATATATAAAATCATAATTTTTTTTGTTTGTGGAAATTAGAATCCCATCTAGTCTATTCATGATCAATATAAATTGTTAGAATTTTTTTTAAATTATTTATTAAGTTTTAAAATCATAACCATTGTTTTAATAAATTATGTATTTTATTATATTCTCAATTATTTAGTTAGCTAATTGCTACAAAAAAAATTATCACTTCAATTATATATGAATGTTATTAATTTTAACTTAATAAATATATTTTCTTAAATATTTAAAATTTAAATTAAGCTGCTATTTTATTGGATCTAATCGGTAAATTTAATATCATTGGCCGATGTCTGATACTTTAATAGTGGCAAAAAACGATTCGATAAAAATATCAATACATCCCTATTTTAAAGGGTTATAGATTTATCAATTCATAATTGCCTAAATTTCTGAATCTTTGTGTGGAGTGGGGGGGGGGGGTAGATATTTTTGAATATTTTTAAAAAAAAATTATAAGAATTTTTCCCTGTGAATTATCTTTGATTCATACGAGCTATATGTCAAATTTGCAGGCTCCCATATTTTAATTTTCTTACATATACCCAGGCTAGACCTAAAAAAAATTTTTTAATTATCTATGTCGGACCTGAAAAATTTTTTTTAAAAAATGCCCTGGCCGTATATTTAAATCGCCATTATTAGCTATAATAATTAATAAATAAATATATTTTTAAAAAATCTGGGAATTCTTATTTAAATAATTTTAATGTAAAACGCGTAATAATTGCATTCATATTTTTGGCCAAACGGAAACAGAGTTTCTCTGACGTAGTGTTGTTTAAAGGCCCGGTTTAGGTCGGTTTTTACAAACTGCCGGATTAAGATTTTAACTAAAATATTATGTGAGCCTCTAGATTTTGCAAATATATGTCCAAACCTTTCTGTCATTTATGAGCAAAATCTTCAGGCTTAGATAATATTTTTTAGCTATAAAATTAATTGGGACTTTTTTAAAAATTAACCCGAATCGGGCTTTTTGACAACAGTACTCTGTCAATAACACCAGCTATTTTGATTAGAAGGCCAACGGTGGTCCTATCTGTCTTGAACTGGGCCGATTTTTTTGGGGGGACCACAGTCCAAACCGATCTTTATTTTTTACGGTATTTCATTAATTTTAGTTTGATTTACTATTCAATTAAAATAAATTTTTTTACCAAATTTTTTTGTTTATATTTTATACCTATTTTCGTTTTTGTGAATTTTGCAATGAAAACCATAAGTTTGCCGAAGAAGCATTTTACGTATAGTCCCTATGGATAAGAATTAAAAACGAAAATATTTTTAAAATAACCTGGATCGTTAGGTTATAAAAAATAATCATGATAATTTCTTTTTAATTTGATAGTTTTATTTCTACCCCAACCAAATCAAATAAATGTTATCGAACTTGCGGTGCTCACTTACCGATATTAATATGTTAAAAAGTTTTCCAACGATTAAAAAAATGTTTTGAAATAAAACACATTGTTCTATTCATCAAAGTCTATATGACGACTAGTTAACTTAGCAATTTTGATAAATAAGTATGATAGAACTCTTTTAAATAACGAATTTGAAAAATATACTTTAAAATGGTTAATTAGGGTAGAAAAGGAGATTCAAATGTTAAAGCTCATAATATCTATTTATATTTAGATATTATAAATCATATTCCATCTTGTAGCACCGAATTTTATTTTTCAAAAATAAATTTTTTTTACTAGAGTGTAAAATATCTATAATGATATCATACTACTATATAAATTAGGCCTATTCAAAAACGAATTCGAATCGAATAGTGCATTATTCATATTCGATTTGTTTACTATTTCAATTCATACGAATAATACAATCTACTATATGTATTCGATTCGAATTAATTTTTTTAATATTTTATTACAAATTTGATTTTAAACAGAAAAAATTATAATAATATGTAATCAATAATCTGATAATAAATAATATATAATCAAGTTATAAACAAAATTAAAATGTATATTATTAATTTAATTTATAATTTAAGCCAATTTTTAAGGCAAAGAGTTTTTCTTTTATTTTCTTCCTTATATGACATGCAGTAAGCAGTTGATGTTCCTTGTATAGATAGATAATCCCTTGCCATTTTCGAGAGCATGGGGATCCGATATGCATTTGCCTTCCACCACATACGAATCATTCTAATAATGTTTCTTAGTTTTAGAATTTAAGGATCTAAAATTTTTAAAATTTCTTTGGATATTAATTATATGGGCAAAGCATTGGATGTGCCCTATTTTTATTAATGGATATTTTAAAGAAAATGTATCAATAAATGTTTTATTATTTATTAGTTGCATTATCTAAAGTTATATAAAAAATTTTATTCTCTAAATTTTAATTATTTTAACAAAGGTTTTAAATATATTTTCACCTGAATGTGTTTCATTTATTGGACTGACATCCAAAATTATGTTATTTATTTTAAAATTATCAATAAAATGGGCTGTTAGCCCTAAAAAAGGAACCTAAAAATTAATCTGACTTTTATTTTTATATATTTTTTCTTTACCAACTGTTCTTTTACTGCAAATATATTATACATGTGCAATTTAAGAGTATTGGAGCATATTGATTTTACAGAACAATCAAGATCACTTATAAAATTTTTAAAATCATTTGAATTAATAATTTTAAAAGGTATATTATTATTTATCAATAATTTTAATAATCTTTAAAATTAATTTTTTTTTGAAGAATTTGGTGTAGATTTTAAAAAAATGTCAATTTTATTATTTTTTTTACTAAGGTGTGAATGAAGAAACCTATTATAATAATTAATAAAAGGAGATGTTGTTTTGCCTTTACATTTTATAATACTCTTGCAATGATTGCAAGCAGCCTTTTCATCGTCTTTAAGGATTTGATATTGATCTCATATGATAGCTCTCTTTTGTGAGGAAATTTTCTCATCTTCAACATCAAGCATAATTTCATCAGAAGCATTCTCCTCTAACATAATTAGGCTAGCTAACAATAATTATTGTAGAGATGTAATATATTTTTATATACCTCTGGTTTATGTAATTATTTAATATAATTTATTATGAGATTCAAAAAATATGGCAAATAAAAATTTAAATTTTCACTAGAAATTTTTGAATTTGTGCTAGAATTTTTATAAACACAAACACATCACCTGTCAGATTGGCAAGTCAACAAATAGAAATGACAAATGTTAGATTTATTAAACAATTTATTAAATATTACTAATAATTCGAATCGAATAAATGATTATTCGTATTCAGATAAAACAAATAATTTATTATTCGAATCGAATATTCGAATTATTTTTGAATAGGCCTATAAAGGTTCTCCTTATTTTTTTCTTTTTAATCAAATCCTACTTTAATTTTACTATAAAAGGAATCGTAATATAATTGCTATAGAAATCACAATTATATGTAATTATTTTCCGTTTTTAGAAAAGAAATTAGTTATAAAATTTTTGTAAGTAATTTAGGAATTAACTACAGTGTTTGAGTAATTATACCTATCCCTGATACGTATACTTAGTTTAAGTTCCCTCAAACTATTTTTGCCTTATACATTTTTATGTAAAATTAATTTTAAATTTAATATAAACCTGCTAAAAATAATTTTTTAAATAAACCCAGGCTGGGCCTAAGAATATACTTTTTTAATACCTGGATCAGGCCGAAATATATTTATCTTTCTATAAATCCAGGCCGGGTTAAATATTTTACATTGCGATTATTATACAGGCAAAATAAAATATATATTTAAAAATTGCTTATATCACATTCATTCACCTTTCATATTTCTTATATCAGTTCAAAACCATTTTATCGAAAAAAATTTTATACACTCTGAGTAGGCCGAAAATTATATTTTAAAAAAAATTCGAGCCTTGCCAAAAAATATTTTTAAATTTGGGCAAGGCCGTGCAATTTGTACATATGCAGGTCGTTTTAAATGGTTTTATAAAGTAATATTGTTAATAATTAGAACGATACAATATTATTAATAACTGTTATTATATCAGCCATTATTTTTAAAACTGAATTAAAGATTATAAAATATTGGTTTGTAAATTATTAATATAATAATAAACAATAATGTTTATTCCCTTCACTAAAAAAATGAAAGTTGAACTTTTTATATAATTCATCTCTTTAAAGCAGGAATGTGCATTTGGCCGGTCAAATATGTTTCGGTCAATTGATCGATATTTGACCGGTCAAATTCAAATATATGTTTTTTAAAGTTAATATTAACTTTATTTTGAAAATAATAGTAAAATGAATCTATTTTTTAAATTCATTGTCATTAAATAACTAACGTTTAGCTATCCGTAGCAGATTCTTGTTCGGATTCATATTCAATATTATCATTTTCTTTAATATTTTTAATCAATTTTCCTGATGTCAGATCTTCAATCGATTTCTATTTTCATAAAAATATTATCCCAAATCGACCTATTTCTTTCTAAAGAAGAAGTAGAACTAGTAATTATTAATCTCTTAATGGGCATGGTGGGCAAAGTTTAATCTATTAACTTGAGGTCGGAATTGATTGTTTCTGGAAATTACTACTTTCCACATAATTTTCTCTATTAAACATGCTGTTTTTGCTTCTGAAATTAATTATATCACTTAAAATATTTTGGTCATCACTATCTTGTAAAATAGCTAATTCTTGAATTATATCATATACTTCATTAAATTCACTACTAGTGAGAATCTCCTCTTGATATTGTGGACCCAAAAAATAAGCAAACATTGTGATCACATGTTATATCGTTTTTCCTTATATTTTTAATTATTTTTCCTTTAAATTTTTTTATAGAATTTGACCAGGTCATATACTCCTCCGGTCAATTGACCGAATTTGACTGGTCAATTGACTGACTTGCCAACCCTGCTTTAAAGATCCAAACCAGAAATATTTGACACGTATGTTTTTTTTAAATTAATTTTTCAAAATTTTTATTTTCAGAATATTAAAAATTATAAAAACAAATTTATATTATAGTATTTAAACATATATTAAATAAACCGGTCATAGCAAACTGATCTAAACCAGCCCATTCTTCAGACAGACTT